GCTGCGAATATGTTCCCCATTTCAATGCCCTTGCCCAAAATGGAGATTATAGACTTGCAGAAAGACATTTTGTTGCAGATACATAAAACTGCATCCTACCAAGAATTTTGGAGTTAATATGTTCCAGAGAAATATAAAAACTGTAAGGAATTAACTAATTTACCTTCCTACTATGTTTGGCTCCACATTTCTTTGTGAAACTTAGTTTTCAAAAATGAATTTTTTCATGAACAAATATCGATCAAGATTGACAGACGCTCACTTTAAGGACACTGTTCGCATAAGCTGCTCATAGCATGAGCAAACTGTACTAAACTGGCTCAAGGACACAAAAGTGTAATTTTTTACATTGAGTTAATCATTTTTACATTAAGTTTAATTTTACATTAAGTTTTATTTGAGTTTCTTCCTTATCATGATTTATTATCTTTGTAAACTTTTATTTTTTTTATATAGGCTTTTTAATTTTTTTATAGTTTTCTTTAATGGAATAATGGTAATAAATTATTGTGTTTAATTTAAATAAATATCTCTGCAAACATATTATTTTCTAAAAAACATCTCATAGTTTTTCATAATGAGCGATATTTTCTTTTTTTTTTCTAAAACAGTAAAAGATTTCCACTTTTTATTGTTTTATACTACGTGTATCTACTATGCAATTTTAGCGCAATAAAAATTCCGAGTAGATAGATAACTAGATAAAATAATAATCCGAGTACAGTGTAATCACAAAAGAACATATACACGAGTGCAAAGGGATAAACTGTTTTTTTTTCAATTTATTTTTAAATTGCTTTGGGTTCCCTATTTCGATTAGTACTATACATTAATTTCATTTATGATATTGTTACGATAAATAATGACTCATAACTCATAAAACTATAAACATATTACTAATTCTATTCCATTCAAGTATTTTCCAGATCATACACCAGCGTTCCGATCGAGGGTCCCCCTCAGCTAAAAACCAGTCCGGGTGAACTTCTAGTCTGTTCGAAGGGGATCGCCGGAATTCTAGTCTAACGGTTATTTAGTATATATGCGACATTTTATTTAAAGAGAAGTCAGTCCGATAATAAATATTGTGAAATAAATTAGTGAATGTTGTATATATAAATTAATAAAGACTTTAATAAACTTGTAAGTGTTGTAAAAGTGTAGAACCCTTTTATAATAAATAAGACAATAAATTAGACTTATAATAACAGTAAAATATATTTGGAATGTGATTAGTGTCTTCTGTTTGAAAAAAATTACTTTTTTTAACAAAATGAACGGTTATATTATATATATTCAAAAATACCTACTTACTTGTACTGATTAAGAGGAATATTATGTACCCTGCGTATTCTGTTTTTATGAATTTTTAATTTTTATTTATAATGGATGGATTACACTCTTGAGCAATGAACTTATCTACAGTCTGAAAATATATTTAAAACCATCTGATATTTAAGAAAAGAATCATACACAAGAGAGTAACTTTATCAATTCCTAAAAAATTATGTTATCTAACTTTATAAACAATATTTATGAATTTATGGATGAATGTTTTTATGGATTCGGACGTTTTTTTTTGTCTTTTTGTCACCAAATGTCGTTAGAGAACTTTTTATTGCAATAAAATTAATAGTTAAAATAATGTAATTTAAAAGCCTTAGAAGGAAAGTTTATATTATGAGATTTGGTTTTAAATATCTTCCCAAAGCATTTGTTATGCCCATATACATAAAATCCATATAGTTCTATAAATACAATACAAAAATATCCAAACAAAACTGGCGAAAAATAGAAATTTGCAAGCTAAAAAAACTGCTAATCGTGAAAACAAAAATTTGTATTAAACATAAACAATATAAATCGAAGTAAATCAACAAATAAAATCAGTCGATTATTTAATATGAAAATAAATATAAATAAATACATAAATATTAATAACACTGCATGAAGTTGATGAAGACATTTTATAAATACTGTCAATGTAATTTATTTCTAAGACTATGTACTACACTGTATAAAAATTAATGATAAATATTATTTTATAACATACTTTTCTCAACAGATGTTATGAAAGTTTGTTAATTTATTTAACACATAGTAAACGTAAATTATTATGAGGATCGCAGCGAGTTAGATGAACGACGAATTTCGTATAGCACCGCCGGACTTCTACTGGCTAAACTATTGGAAGCTCGGCATTGCTACAGTGGCGTATTTGCGAAGTGTTAATCACTGCTAAGCGTTAGTGTTTTCTACTAGTAAGACAGACTACTGCTTCATTACACTGATTGAATTCGGCTAAAATTTGTTCTTTTAACACGTACACAACGAATTTGACTGTAATTATCACTTTTGCGGTATATAAGAAGAATTATTTCGCGCAGCAGCCGACAGAGAAAGGTTTCAGGAAATTGTAAGCATGATGACGGCCAACGTCTGAATACGGACACGGCACCCAAAGAAGAAGAAGAGAAGGTATATAAGGTATTATTTTATAATTATTAGTCTCAAGATTCGACAAAATATGAATCATAAAAAGAATTAATTGAAAAAAGTAACCACAAAAAAATATAGGTAAGTAAAAAAAGAAAAATATTATACTTAATGCTAACACATTATCATATCGACGACAATTATGCTCTGTACTCAGTTCAGTAAAATTCACACAACCAAGCCTAATTGAGTCGCTCAGAAGCAAAGAGGCCCAACTGAGTTTTTTATATAATTCATATAAGTATTACAATATGTGGCATTTTATTATATATTTCATTTCAAAGTGGCTCAACTAACATAACAATGGCGCGAGTTGTACAGTTAGGGTATGTAAACATTTTATATGATTTAGTTATGAAAATGTGACAGTTGGGCCAGGGTGCATTATGATATTTTCGACAATCTCACTCTTGTCACAGAATAAATAATAATCAGAAGAATGCCCACTCTCAGATGCCGCTTTTGAAGTTTGTCAGCACGCGAACGCTATGTTTTAGACAGAAACATAGACTCGAATTGAGACATTTGTGGCAAGCTATGACAGAACTGTAATTTAAATTTTTAGAGATTAATAATTTAGTACATTTGAAATAATTTAATCGATTCTTCAACTAAAAGTACGAATAAAACAGTGAATAATATATTTTGTTTGTTAATGTTTTGCTCATTCAACTCCTATAATGTATAAGGTTTCAGGAATGTTTGTGTAAGTGAACAGAATAATACTGGTTAATAAAAAAACATTTTCATTTTTAGCTCAAATCTTTAGTTGCCGATATTCGCTCCGTGCGTGACTGACGCGACACCTACCGCCTTCATCTGACAATTTTGGAGTCCCAATTTTCAGGTTAAACATATGACATATGTTTGACATTGTTAGATACATGCGAAATTGACAATTATTAATAAATTAATTTTTTAACTATATTTTTTCAGTTTATGTACAAAATAAATGTAGTATTAAAAACTGGGTTTCTCAAAATTCATCATAATATATCTTTTCAACTCCAAACGGAAGAGAAAGGGAAAAATCTAGTACTGGCAAATCAAGTTTTTCACGCAAAAGAGCATATAATTAAAAACAATAATAGTAAAAGTTATGATATAAAAGCAAAAGTCATCTGCAGTTAGCTTAAAGCCTTATGAAATATCATTCAAGGTAAATTATTTAAATTTTTCCTATTTCAATTGCATAAAAATGAAATTATGTGATATTTACTAGCACGAATTCATCTTTTTCTTTTCTCTAATTTATAAGTAATCTTTGGGAACCTATAAAAACTACACTCACTGTTTTTGCTATTATTAGCACAATTAAATACGCAACATGTATTTGCACACATTTTTGATAAAATTTATGCGTAAAAATATTTTGTCCAATATTCCAATTTTGTCATATTTCGCCGCTACGCACGCTGGCATCGTTTCAATGTATCCCTACCATGGTCACGCACGGAGCGAATATCTCAAAACATTAATTTTACACTTAGGCCATTGTGCTTCTGGGCGACTTAATTATAAGATAGAATAGAGGAATGTTAAAAAAAAGTACATCAAAAGCAATGCATTTTATAACACGATGATTATACAGGGGAATTATTTGAAGTATCCAATTAGATGTTTTATAGAAATTTGACATAATTAATACCTGAAGATTTGAGATGGGGGATTTTTGATATGCCCAATTAATATAAAATATTTAAAAGCTCCTACCACTTCCGGTTATATCGGAAGTTGACTAAAACTACTATATTTAAAATATGGAAGTTTTAGTCAACTTCCGACAGGTATATCCGGAAAATATTTTAGATAAATTGGGCATATCTAAAAACTATTGCTGCAAAATGTTCAGATATTAATTATGTCAAGTTTTTCTAAAACCTCTTAATTGGAATTCCCAGAGAATCACCTGTATACTTATCCTATCATAAATGTTCAATGCATCTGTTGATTCTCCCATTCAAATTCTCTGATACAAATATAATTTCCTTTTTGATACATCAACTTCATACAGAAACCGAAACAATAAAATTGCTGATGCCAAAACATAAAATGCACAGAATTATATACATCTATTATTTGTCACACCAATGTTTTGACGGCACTTAAATATGCAGTTATATCAATATAACTGAGATTGCACAATGATAATAACACCTAAATTTCTTACACTTGCTAGAGTTTTACTACAATAGGTTATACCTTTCAACTGAGATAACTTTTATGCAAACTTATGGATATAAACTATTTACATGTGGCAATAATACAATAACTATTTAGTAGAGGACAATTTATCGAAATATTTACAGAAATTGATGTAGAAACTTTTAATTTTAATTAAAAGGGTACCTATCAAAGTGCTCTCACTTCCAGAATTCAATTTTTCTTACGATATATGTGATTAAAAAAGAACTCGCAATTTAGCGCAATTTTAACAAACTACCTCCCCTTCCCCCAAAACCCTCTACCACAAAAAACTTTTTTTTTCCTTTTTATTCTTTTTTCTAGTACTGAATCGATGAGTCTCCAATTTATATTAAAAAAATATATGAAAAAGAAAATCTCCAGGCCTGGAAGAACAAAATACAACCATCCTTTACGCTAAAAAACAGGTTTTTCAGGGGTTATTCGGTAGTTTTTACTCAACTTTTTACTTTTCTATATACAACATGAGACGGGATTTTATTTTAAAATCCAGTAAAATCCCCAAAAAACTTGAAAACCGGGTTCTTCGCATGTTGCAAGAAATTTTTAGCTTCTCTGAATATGGAAAATACATCGTTTCGTGTTGTTTTATAAAATTTTTGTAAACATGATGTAAAAAGGTTAAACACTTGGACAAAGCCAATAAAAACACTATAATAACGCTTGAAAACCTGGTTTTTCGCATAAACGATAGTTGAATTTGCTTCTTTGTGACCTTAAAATATTAATCCTCATATATTTTTAAACATGAATTGGAGACGTATTCAATCAGATTGTATCGATCTCAAATGATTAACCCCGCAAAAACTCCAAAAACTTTTAAAAACATATTTTTAAGGTTAAAGGTGTTCCACCCAAAAGACTTCGTTACTTCAAATTATATATAATCCATAAAAAAACCTTGATTTGATCCATTTTGAAGTCTATAAAAGGGGGAAAATCCCCAAAAAAAAAACCTAAAAAACTCACATTTTCGGGTTTCTGAAGGTGGCGAACCTAATGGAAAAATCTAAAAAAATCTGGAAATATATTTTTTGATTAAATACAAAAAATAGAAAAAAAAACTAAATTTTTTCATATTTCACAGACATTTCCAATCAAAAGTTGTACGTTTTTTTTTTTCGAGAAAATAATTTAAAAAAGTGTTTTAAAAGCCTTAACTATATTTGTGAATTTTTTGAAATTTTTAAATTGATTGTAACCCACCGAAAAATGACTTTTTTGGGTTAGGGTAGGGGAATGGTAGTGGAGGGTTAACATTCCGATGAGTCTATTTTTTAATCACTTAAAACGTAAAAAAAATGAAAAAAAGATTGAATTCTACGATAGAGTGCATTTGGTCTATCTTAACGGATGGTACCCTTTCTTCAACAGTCTCTCACATCGAGGTCTTAGCTTTTCCATAGATTATATTGCCAGTATAATCCTTGTCATCACATTGAGTTAATAATATGTCACTTCTCGGATACAAGCGATATGCTTATATGCAAATTAATCAAATGTTTTACCTTGAATATCAAATAAATTTTAAAGCGTGTGAAATTATATACAGAATTGAGCAGGCTAGAGTAGCTTTCAGAAGAATGCTCAAGGTATTATGTAGCAGAAACCTAAAATTGACATTTCGGATGAACCTAGATCTCGGCCTTACTTAATGTCGAGTCTTGGACATTAAGTAATGCCGTCTTGTGAATAAAAGTGATTTAAAATGCCTTGAGACTTTCGGCCTTTGGTGATTTTAAAAGTTTCTTGGGTGGATAAGATTCGAAAATCCACAACACTAGAACGTCTCAGCAAGACCCCGAAATTATAAAAATCAGCAACAAGAGAGACATGATGTACTTCAGAGGCCCCAAATATAGATTGCTACAAAAATTATGCAAGGAAAAATAGCAGGCAAACGTGGTCCAGGACGAACAAAGTTTTCATAATTAAAGAGCTTGAGAAATTGGGATGGTATTGATACAAGCATGCTATTTAGGGTGACATTGAATCAGGTTAAAATAGCTATGATGGTAACCAACGTTCTGCAAGTCCGTGAGGAAAATATCAGTAGGTAAGACACCACACAACCTTGAAGATGCCCTAGCAACTCAATCTTGTGAAGTGTTATTAATTTTATAAGTGAATCTAGTTGTATTAATCTGTAACTATGCTAACTTTCAGAGATTTATAAAAAAATTAATATACAGGTGTCTGACCGATTTCTTAAAACAATAGTTTTATAACTAAACCCAATAGACCAGCCGATTTATAAGAACTATTACAAAATCAACACAAACAGACATGGTGACATATTTTATCCGTGATTTATGGTAGTAAGCCATAAGGAAATGCAACAATTGAGTTCCAAACGTCTTTACCAGCTAACAAAACCTTCAGTTAAAGAAATAAGTCACTGCACAACTCTCCTCCAATAAATTGATTCACAAAAATAGTTTTTCGTATTTTGATTACATAGCGGGTTGCATTATTTTCAAATTAATAATTTTAGTGATCTTTTAAACATCTAATATATCTATAAATTTGCAAAAAGCTAAAATCCGTTTTAAAGTAGCAACAGTATAACCTTAAATGACCAGAACCGAACGAAATAGATAAAGGTGGTCCCAACAAACCTGAAAATAAAAATAAAACAAAAATGTCCGTTTGTAACTATTACAAAACAATGAATAAATAATTTTTGGTGAAAAAACCTATTCTAATAGTGTAATCAATGAAATGGATAAACAACAATTCTGGTTTTGCTTTTAAGCTAGCTAATTTTAGGACGTTTTGATAGGGGCTCTGTTGGACTGACGCATGCCAGTTTTGTTGAAGAAAATCCATCGTTGCCGTAGACGCTCAGACTGTTTTCCATTATATCTTGCTTCTAAAAATAAAAGAAAGTTTGTATAACATATTTCATATTCCATATACTACGGTACAAGTAAAACAAAAAGCAGATGACGTTTCGGCGCGAAGATTTTAAAAATTATTACAAAGAATAAAATTAAGAACTTTAGAAATGTAAAAAATATGCGAAGTAGACGACCTCTGTGAATATAAAAATATTAAGAAAAAGACAAGAATTTATTACATTCAGGTTAGTACGTCATGCTTACGTTTTATTTTATTCTTTTGGTGGTCAAATTAAAGAAATACATTTTTTTTTAAATGAAATGAGGTTGAATGCTCGAATAAATGAACTTTGAAAATAAGGCTATTATCGAGCACAAGTTAATTAAATCTAGCCCAAGTACTTTCGCTTAAAATAGCATCTTCAGGGGCATTTCGTCAAAATGTGAACTATCCGGCAAGCGTAGAATGTGGAAACATTAAAATTAACATAAATTGTACAAAACACTACACTAAAACGAGGACAAACAGTTTAAAATTACTTCTACGCTACATTCTCTGTCAGTATCTGGATCCCCTCTGGATGGATCTGTCATCCCTCCAGATACTGACAGAGAATGTAGCGTAGAAGTAATTTTAAACTGTTTGTCCTCGTTTTAGTGTAGTGTTTTGTACAATTTATGTTAATTTTAATGTTTCCACATTCTACGCTTGCCGGATAGTTCACATTTTGACGAAATGCCCCTGAAGATGCTATTTTAAGCGAAAGTACTTGGGCTAGATTTAATTAACTTGTGCTCGATAATAGCCTTATTTTCAAAGTACATTTTTTTTAAACCTCTAACTAAAGCTAAACTAATAAACAAGTAGTAGTTTAGCTTTAGTTATTAATTCTGTTTTAAAACCAAGTAGATTGCATTACAGGTTTGAGGAATTATTTGGCTTAACGCTGGTTTGGATATTATGGTTGTGAACTCCAAGTCCTTGAGGCTGCGTCCTGTTGCAAGGTATCTGAGAGTTGCTGTGAGTCTTTCATGGGGTGTAATGGCTTTTCTCACGCAGTTGTCTTGTTTCAATATGTATGGTGTTACCTACTCTAGCAATTGACAGTAGGCTGAGGTGTCCATGCGCAAATAATTGCGCCAGTCATCTGGTTCGCCTCTCAATTATTTTAGTAACGAGAAGTAGGAATACTGGCTTCTTTTCAGAAGCCACTCTCTTGACCATCTTGTCTTTTCCCTCTTTATAATGGTATTGTATGTAATTCATACCGGAAAGTAAAATGCATGATCTCTTGCGGTATACAGTACTGCGCATATTTTTTTCATAATGATGTTTTTTGTTGTTGTTTACAAACAACATCATGCAAATCTAGTAAATTTTATCTTTTAGATAAAACATGAGTTGGAAAGATAAAAGGCCGCTGACTAAAGGCCTATTCTCACTATAGTGCCAGGCATGTGCTCGGCATGTGCCCTGCTCGAGACGTGCAAAATTACTTTAACGTTATTTAAATGGGTTTAGCGATGGTCCGTTCTCACTACAAGTGCTCGGAGTGGGAAAGGTCCGTGCCCGGCATCGAACAATCTTTTCAAACAATATTTTCCTAGCCCATGCCTGGCACATGCCTTGCACAGTCCTACATAGTGTGAATACTTCAGACGAGTTTCGACAGGCAAAATGGTGCGAAAAAAATTATTTTCACATGATACTAATGAATTTTTAATAGAATTAGTTCGTGAGAGGAGTGAATTATACGATTTTATGAATCGACTGTATGCAGATGCAGCACATAAGTCTCAGGTATGGTGGGATATTGGAGAAAATATTAAAATAGGTAAATAAAACACTATATTTTATCTAGGTAATAGACCACTGCCGATAATATTTAAAAAATAATAGTAGGGTCAAACTCGTTGGAAAAGAAAGATGATATGACATAAATAAAAGAAAAAATAATTTACGGGCGACCTGAGTTCGGAAAATGGAGGGAGTGAGTTTTTTAAGGGCAAAAATGGTTTATCGTGATTTCCTAGAGCAAGTTGAACTACATATCTACTAAAGCAAGTAGCATTACAGAAAAAATCTTTTTGTAGTTCAATAAAATTTTTTGGCAATTTGTTCAAAATCGCATTCTGCTGGTAATTCTGCTGAAATTCGGCAATTGACATTCTATAATATATATAAAATGTTGACTCATTATCCATGAGTTCTTTATACAAGGTATAGTATCCTCCTTCTATTTTTCTTTTCTTAATCATTGGATATATCCAAAACCTCCTTTTTTAACTTTATCTCTCCTATTCTCTTCTTCGGCATCTAAAGTAAAAAATTCAATTTTTACTAAAGTTGCCGTGGAAAACATTACAACTGCACAACTACCCACCGACACGTCTACCGACTGCTGTGCAAAATACCGCTGAAAGCATGCTACGAGCGCGAATAGTGTGAATATTTACCAAAAGCATGGCATGTGCCGGTCAGGTGACGAGCGCGGGCCTGGCACGTCTAATGAGAATAGACCTTAACTAGGACCTTGCCGATATATAATAAAAAATGCTTCGGGATATGGAAGATGGGTTTGATGATGATGATGGTATTGTCGATCCAGATTTCTTACTTGACGAACAAGTTGGTACATATGATGAGTCTGATAATGAGGATAACGAAATGGATGAGAATGCTGTAGACACTAATATAGTTAATAGCATTGTAGGGGAGGAGCCTCCCGAAACTCCTCTGGTTTACACCAAGGGCAAATGTATACTTATTTTACAATCAATTTGTGATCAAAAATATTAGATATTTTTTTATTTTTAGACATTATATGGAAAAAAATTGAACTTAACCGAACAGCAACTGGAATTTAGAGGAAATCAGAGTCTTCCAAATCATATCCTGCAACTAGAAAGTCCCTATGGATATTTTAATTTATTCTTCACAGATAGACTTTTAGATAAAATTGTGGAGGAGTCAAATTTATATGCCATGCAGCAGAATCTGTATGGCACTGAATATTACACGAAGTGACATAAAGTAGTTTATTGGAATTATATATGTTCCTTTTAAATTTGCCCAATACAAGGGTACATTGGTCAGAACAAATTGGCTTTGAGAAAAGAAAAAGTGCTATGTCAGTCAACAGGTATGAAAAAATCAGACAATTTTTACATTTCAATAATAACAAGAATGCCTTATCCCATGACAATCCAAACTACGATAGAGTTTATAAAATTAGACCAATAATTGACCACCAGCAAACGGAATTCCATTGGAACAATCGATGAGCAGTCCATCGATGAGCAAATTTGTTCTACCAAAGATATGCACTACATGAAGCAGTACCTACCAAACAAGCCACATAAACGAGGTTTTAAATTTTTGTCTTACGCAGTAGCTCTGGATATGCGTATCATATAGAATTATACACAGGACAAGAGAATGATCAAAAAACAAGACCTGCTTTTGAACCTGACCTCGGAGCAACTGCAAATGTTGTGGTGAGGTTGGCTAGAATTATTCCTAGGAATACGAGTTACAGGCTTTATTTTGACTATTATTACTCTTCTACACCTCTCCTTGTATATCTTTTCCAACAAGGTATTCACAGTTTAGGAATCGTAAGAAGGAATAGGATTCCAAATTGTAAGCTTCCGGATGAAAAGGCTATGAAAAATGAATAAAGAGGAACTAGTGTAGAATTTGTTGGTACTTGCGATGATGTGGAAATAAGCAGCCTAGTGAAAGATAAAAAATTAGTTACGTTTCTATCGACTTTAGCTGGCGAAGTTCCTAAAACTACTACCAAGAGATATGACAAGAAAGAAAAAAACAAAAGAAGTAAGTTGTCCATATCTTGTACAAGAATACAACCGTCATATGGGCGGTGTTGATTTGTTGGACAGCAATATGGGACGGAATAAAATTATTCTAAGAAGTAAAAAAATGGTATTTTAGAATATTTTACCACCTACTAGATCTAACCGTTGCTAACAGTTGGATTCTTTACAAGAATTCAGCTGAATATAGAACTGAAGCGAAGCCTAAAGTCACACACGCTCAGTTTAGAACACAACTGGCAGAAGTATTATGCAGGACAGGAGAGCGATTCACCATTGCAAGAAGGGGATGACCTTCAGCAAGTGAAACTTAAAAGGCGTTAAAAATAAAGAAGAGAAAAGGCCCAGCATAGGTTATGCCAGTAAAAGACGTTCGAATGGATCGAATTCACCATTGGCCTCGAAAAACAAATAAGGTGCAAATATCCAGTGCAATGGCTATACACATGTGTTGTGCGAAAAGTGTGGTGTAGCACTATGCTTCACCTAGACGAAGAACTGTTTTAAAAACTTTCACTTTTCCTAAATATTGTTTTAAGTATATCCTTATTAGCATAGTGTTGCAAATAACGAAAATCCAGTCTGCATTCAGTCCAGTTTATAACATTTTTGTGACGAAAAATAAAAAATCATGCAGTTAAGGGTTAAGCATATTTTGAGGTTATATATTATTACGTTACGTGCATAGACATGTAATACAATATAGACTGACTGCTGCAATACAGTCGCGTTCCCTCAGTGCGACAGAGAAAACTTATGCAAAGCCGTTCCTGCATCTCTGTCTTATTTGCTAGGTTTATCGACCACGTGACCTAAATGACCAATAAGAAGGTCACGTTATCGATAAACACGGCCCATTAGACAGTAGTAGTACAATAATATCGACGTATTTTTCAGTTACACACATCTTACTTTAGATCAATATTTAAAACATATACAAAACAAGATCAAAGTTCAACTTACAATTCCTTCGAGAATAACAGCAATCGGTACAACTCCTGTGGCCTCAGCTACTTGATGTTCAATCAAATAAAACATATATTCATCATACAGCAACCTTATCAAATGGAAACTTCCAAAACTAGCTGCAGATCGCAGCGTCAAATCCCTGATAACCATGGAACTGTAGAAGCTCCACTTGAGCAAAAACTGCCTAGCAGCCTTCGAGAAGCTTGGCTTTCCTTCGTATGGCTTCAAAGCACTTTTAACGACGTTCTTCAACCACGAAGCCCACTGTTCTAATGAGTTTTGCTGTTGGAGGGTGAGTTTAAAATCGTTTTCGAATCGGGCTACCAGATCGTTGTCGCATTGACATACCCATGACGCTTGTTCTCTAACACTGTGAAAATCGACTCGATTCAAATCCGCTAACATCTGTCCTATTTGATTGCTGTTATGCAAGACAGCTCTAGCTGCTTGAGCGAGGTGATTGAGTGAAGTGTAGCGGCGTAAACTTGAGCTGAAGGCTGAGACTGCAGTTAGCTTGATTTGGAGCATCGCTGGAGGAGCACCAGTCATTGCGGTTGTTAACCAATTTTCTAGATCTGAAATAAAAGCAAAGTTGTACAAAACGTATCAAATATTGATAAGATGGATTTACAACAAGGGGTAGAGTTCATGGAATAATATATTGTTTATAATATGTTATCTTATTGATTAATTATCTCATTATATTCTAACAATAGAATTCCAAATAGATGTAGAATACGTATAGCGATGGTCATGTTTAAGAAAGAAAAAATGTAGAATCAATCCAATTATAGAAACATAGATAAAAAAATTTTTATTAAAAAATTTATAAAAGGTATATATTTAAAAACCCTAACGGGCTAATTAAACAAAACGTTTTCGGAAAGCTTATTCCATCATCAGTGTTTAGGAGTACATGAATGTAGCCACTAAATATATGGGTAAAAACCCGTTAACAAATAATTAGTTACATTTGGTATACGTTATTTCTTATAATATGTTATGATGTTAAAGTTACCGTTGGATAAGGTAACATGGCGACATATGACTCCACGTTGAAGTTGCGGTGTGTCTACAAGGACTGTATGGATTGCTTCCTTAAACTTATAAACAGCCTATGATAAAATTCAATTATAGGAATTTGGCTGTTATCTAAGTGAAGTGGCACTCATGCAGGATTGAGAGAGAAAAGCGAAAAATAAAGGGACCGTACTAGCTCGTAAGAGGAATCTGGCAGTATAAATAAACATTTAGTTTATGCTTATTCCATTTGAATATTCTAAGACGCAATTTCAAAGTTCTAAATAAAAACCTTATGAAATTAATATAGAGTGGACAAAAAAATGCTACAGTAGCATTCTTTAACTATTTAATTTTTCGTTTTGGATCCGCTGTGTCTCGTTTTAATACATTAGGGAGCAGAATGGCAAATAAAATTATACCTTATTACAATAAAAATATTTCTATAGCTTACTTTTAGCAAAGTTTCGTATACTTTGAGTCAAAGTGGCAGGTATCGGTTTCAAAACGTCAGGCACCAAAACTTGAATAAGATTTTGGTAAAACACCAAATCTACTTGTCTCATAAAATGCTGAACAGGCTCCAAACTGCATAGAGAAAACAACTTTGACTTCGAAAGATATTTTTCTTCTTCGCATTCATCGCTATTATTATTATACTGAGACCTGAAAAAAATATATGTTATTTTCTTAGAGAATAGTTTCTCAACAATAAAAATTACCTCCAAAATTCTCTCCACAGAGATTCAACTGTAGCGAATTCTAAACTCAAAATTGCATCTAAAAATGCTTCTAAGTGTTCTCTGTAAATTGATTTTAATGTGTCTACGTCTTCGTAACCGCAATCTTCTGGCAATGGTTCACGAAATTGTATATCAGGAAAAGCGGGAATTGCACTACTACCATCACCTAAAAACGTTTTTGTTGGGTAAAGCACTTGCTTAATAGGTACCAAGAAACGAAGAACCGATACAGTAGTAATTTCTTCATTTCTTGATATCTTTTGATGGTCAATAGTTGTGGCAATAAAAAAACGAATTGATAATGCTAGCCGCACGTAGGGTGTGCTCTAAAGCACTCTAAATCTAATGAATCCATAGAAGCGAATATAACAAAAAATTTGAGGGTATACAAGGCAACTATCGAACACGGTGATTAATTTAATCTTGCCCAAGTACTTTCGATCAATAGATCATGATCTACTAAAGGTACAAAATGTAACTAAGTGCAAACAAAAAGGCAAAAAACGTGTAGTAAATGAACAAAATTGGGTCTGTAATGTTTGCAAATCAAAAATATCTGGTGGGAAAGAGTATCTCAGTAAAAAAGGCAAAAACATGCCTGCAAAAATGTTAAAGCTTCCTTGCATGTGTCACATGAAATGCTCTAAAAGATTGCCCCAGAATACGAAAGACAAAAAATTTTCAACTCATACTGGACTGAGACAAACGTTTCAGATGTTAAAAAGCAATTTATTTTCTCATGTGTCGACATCCAACCTACTCTTCGATTAACAAAAAAAGACCTAAATTCTACCAAATCTAAAAATAATACACTACACTACCATTTTACAGTCAACAATCAGCGATTGAGGGTGTGCAAGGTTATTTTTTCAAACAAATTTTGTATATCTAATTTAGTAGTAGTAAATATGTTGAAAAAAATTGAGCCAGGAGGTTTAATAAAAGCTGATCAAAGAGGTAGACACACGCTAATCAATAAAACTCCTACCGAAATCATAAATAGTATACATCAACATATTAAATCATTCCCAAAGTGCGAGATTCATTATTCCAGAGAAAGGAGTAAGAGAGATTATCTTGGCATAGAACTTACGATAGAAAAGTTGTATCAACTGTACTTTGATGAATGCAATGAAATACATATAGATCCAAAGCTCAGAGTAAAAAAGAAATTCGACGCAGATATTTTTAATAAATATTTTCAAGTTTTCGTTTGAAAACTTGGAAACCCGAAATAGACACTTGCGATACATGCAGTACATTCACAGCTCAATTGAAAAATAATCTTACTGCAGATGAACTAACCAATGAACAGGCTAATCATGATACTCACCTAATTAAATTTAAAACTCGGTATAACTTACAACAATTGGACTTTTTAATAGCTAAAGAGTCACCAAAACACAAAGTATTATCTGGTGATTTGTAAAAATGTTTGCTTTCACAATTGCATATGGAAGCATACAGTTTTTATGCTTTAATCGAGAGAAACAAAAAGAAACTCTCCAATTTGGCCATTTTAACACCATGGAACTGGCAACAGCTAGTTAGGCAAACATCAGGTAAATACACAGTGCACAATATGGAACTTGTAGATTTTAAAAACTTCAAAACGCTGTTCGATAAGAAATTTTCACTTAATCATCCTTTTGTAAATAGAAAAAAGAATGTTAATGAAGATCCTGTTCTACTGTCAACATGTGTTGACTCCTACAAGTCCAACAAGAACACATTGGGAAGCTCTTTTATAAGAAATAATCAAAATACGTATGAAGTGGACTTCATGAGGTAACCAAGACAGCAAGTAACGTTTCCAGCTCAATTAAATCAAGTCTCAGTAAACCCATTACCAATCAGAAAACAAAAGTTTAATGACTTCATTACCTTACTGTCTTTTTCCGTCAGTTTGTTATGCACTTTATCAAAATTTAACACATAGCGATGTAGCCACAAACGATTACCCACAAGAAGATGAAGATGATATGGAGCCTCTTTAACAATTTTGAAACTTGTCGTCTATAATTTTACTTTATTTAACTTTTCTTAATTTAATTATTATAACATTATAATATTTACCACTAATAAAATAATAGTATAGGCTGTTTAGTGTATTTCTATTGTTTATTTCGTAGAGACCTTAACATGCAATGTCACATTATTTAAAAAAGTTATTAGAGGTAAACAACACTATGTCCAACTACACATAAAAAAAAATATATATAAAATGAACGGTAAACTTCAGGTACGTAACACTTCATGGAAGGAAAAACGATTATACACACCACAATAATAATATATTAATCTTGGTTAAATATAAGAAACGTTTGAGTATTTACTGATTAAACATTTAAAAAATGTTAAAACTGCTCTCCTGAAAAAGTAAGAAAATGGACATAGTGTCCTTTACCTCCGAGGTACGGATATATAAAATGTTAATTTAACTTAAAATTAAATGACATAATGTCGATAATAACGGATTTTTAACTAATAGAGAATATACTGAGCCCTTTCTCGAAAATGACGAGCACATCTAGGGCAAGCTAAAGTTACCAATAAATTTAGAAAATTTTGTAATCCTTTTGGGTATGTTTATTTTATTATTAATTTAATAATCCAATTGTACAAGAAGGTTCACACTTACTTCAAAAGAAAAAAATAGATTCAGGCAATATTAAAATGAAAGTATCTGAAATTATAATCATTTCTGCTTAACGGTTCTATTATAAATTAAACTTAATTAACAGCCGTTAATTACAAAGGTATTTAAAAAAGGACGCAAAACTTACCAAGATAAGCAACGTGTTGAGATAAACCAGAATTAACCGAGTCCGAAGAATCCGAACTGCGTTTAAAAGGCCGAACAGTTCCTTGAGCTTTTCCGTTTGTGTTATTAGAGCTCAGTACCACACGACTGCTTTGGTCTTCTAAATTCATTAACGAAGAGCCAGGTTTGACTCTGATTCCGTAGTAATGGTATTTTGAGTTTCCCCTGAAAATAAAATTAAATGAATAATTACGTTTGAAGTACCTACTGAAAAATTACAAATTTTATCCCTAAAAATACAAATAAACGATATTAGATAATGAGAAACTACTACTACTACTACTACTGAAAAAATAAATAGTAATCCAAACTTTCTATTTAACAATCATTCTGTAACATTTTTTTTATAATTAAAATACTAAACAATTTTTAATCCCTTTACCCCTGTTTCTGAGACGCCCTTGGCAGTATTTGTAAATATGTACGCGGGTGGTTTCGTTTATCATTAGAAAATTTTATCACGAAGTTCCCAGTACGGAAGAATCGACTTATTAAAAGACGCCGGTTGGATTAATCCTTAGCTAATCTTTTTCCGGTTACGAGCGGGTTCTGTTTGATGCTTTAGCAGGCAAAGCCGTGGAAGGTATTTTATGATATTTTTCTGTAAAAACCTAATCCAAAAGATTTTACCTTTCATCACGTCCTAGCTAGAAGTGTCCCGTTATTTTCGATGTTCGTTAGAACCTTACTTTCTTTTTTTTGTGGCATAGACTTTCGTCATTCAGCCAGTCTCGAAAGGTTATAATATATTCCTTAAGAAAGTATATACACATAAGTACAGATTATTTCTCTCAGACAAATGCACAGCGATATCCATAAAATGAAATAGACGGATAATTAATAGAAGAACACGTCCAAGGAAAATACAAAGATACTTGCTTCTCGTCTAGGGGTCTGTCAAGACATTTATTTTAACAGAACCTTACCTTCTTAGAAATACATACTGTCTGGCCTGTCATTTTTAAGTGGGGGATATCTCACCTTTTTCTTGGGTAGTTTGGTAAATTTTGAGAGAAAGAACAGGACTTATGGCAAGGCGATCTTTGAGGAAAGATGCTTGTCACCTTACCGTCTCTGTACATTTTTTTTCTAAGTGTGTATACACTTAAATATTTGAGTTTCTTAATCTAATACCATATTAGATTAAATATCGTTATAAAGTACCTTTTAATTTAAATAACTCCAGTGCTTGATACAAGTATAGTATGTACATTCAGTGTAGTGTAGCAGTCATCGAGAATAAGTAAGAATTCATCCATAATTTAAATAACTCCAGTGCTTGATACAAGTATAGTATGTACATTCAGTGTAGAATAGCAGTCATCGAGAATATCGTAAGTTATCGTGATCAATTACCTTCAATTATCTGGGCGAATAATATGGTAATCATATTATCTTCAACTATCTGGGTGAATCTGCGTTCGATTATTTTTTCACCTGTAGTTGAGGTTAAGTACTGATTTTGCATTTAATTTAAAGAACATTTAATATTTTCATATTAAGCAGTCAGCTTTTAAGAACTTCTAATAAATTATAATTATGAACATTTAATTCTCCGTCAATCATTAAACAACAGTGCCAACAGATAATTAACTTAACCAAGTGCGAGTTGGTTTAATTTTTATTCCTGTAATCTTTTTGTATTCTCTAGAATTTACCTTTAATTGACTTTGTTTTTATTTGCTATTCATTTTTTTAACATACTGTATCCGTTATCTCGAGATAAGCCCACAAACAGAAAAGAGAGACTTCTTCAATCAGTTTAGTTGAATATTTTTAATCACTATTAGGCTCTCTTCGCTGATAATTTAATCTGTGCCTGATTTTATTATATTGTATTTGTAAAGGTATTTATTAATCATAATACTGCTTATTTCTATATGTATATAACCATTTATCAATTGATGGTGTATTTTTATTACTTATGTGTACATTCAGCTACCTACATCATTGTGGTGTTGAATATATTGTTTTGTTTTATTAATGAATTTTATATCTCGACTCCTGACAAGTTTCCTGATAAAAAAATAACTCTGAATATTTGCTAATTATATTAAATTATTATTATACTTTCGACCAGGAGAAAGATCAGGCTGATTAAGTTTCGTAGGTAAGTAGGTGGACGGAGTCCACCTAATATATTTATTATTTGTGTAGGTAGTGTGTGAACCAAATGTATTTAATAATTAACTGTAGATATCTTTCCTTGGATTTGGTCTCAGATCCAAAATATCTTTCTTATCTCTTTTCCTTTCTAGGGTTTCTTAATTTTCCCCTTTTACCCCAAAAAGTTAAGTGGCGTCCTTTTTCTATCTTATCTTATCTTTGGTAATTTTACCCATCTATCTTTTTGTTTATTTCTGTATCTTTTCTAATACATATTATCCTGTCCTATCTTTACTTATTTCGTCCGTTGGACCCATTCCCGGTTCCAAAAGCTAGTTTCGAACCCACGACTCACTCTCCACCAACCATCTGGCTGCCGTCCGCAGTGTCTCCATTGGTGACCTTTCTAGCACCATCCAAGAAAGGTTTCCGAAGTTAAATTCTTTTTTACTAAATGTAAATAGACATAATAATTGCCGTTATTGGGCTAATGAAAATCATAGAGTTTTCCACGAAACAGATACAGTCATTGCAATTCTGAATGACCAACTTGAGAAAACCGGTTCTCCCCTCCTTAACTTATTTAGTTAAAGACTATAAAGTGTAAAGGCATGCCAAAAATTAATCACTTGAGAAAGGCACTCGGACAAAACAGCTGTAGTAAAAAAAATAAAAATTATAATAAATTTTGTGGAAATTTTGAAAACAAAAGTTTCGGTGTTTTATTGTTACTTGTAATGACATTGAACTTACCTAGTTCCTAATCGTCGCGTCCTCAGTCCCAAAAATACGGACCTGATTAATTTTCCGAAAGAGGCAGCATTCACAGGTTCCAATTTGTTTTCGGCACAATGTCTGAGGTAGTGAGCGTATAATGTAGAACGAGGTAATGAAACTCCTTCGGCAGTTTCATAGTTTTCTAGTAACCATTGCACCTTCGGAAAAATATGTTTTTTATCATTTGGTGGTATGGTAAGAAGCTGACAATATAAGTAATTAATTGTGAGTTTAAAATTAAATGTTAATCAAACCTAGGTTACTGTGTTACTGACTGACATGTTTTTGAAGAATGTCAGTGAAAATCGTTAATTCTCAATTGCACTCTTACTTTCGGCTAATTAAGGCAAATGTTCTATATTTGCTAAAATATGTAGGATGGTATATGGCATAAACGGTGAATTAGGTCAATATAAATTTGTTCTAAAATTTAGCATTTAGCACATCTGTCATGAAGAATAATTTTACCTTGGAGCAAGTAGACAGTGATTATAACTGATAATTTGGAAGATCAGCAGTTATTACTTGATAGGGTGAATAGCATCGGTAAAAAAAATGGCCTCAAAATCAACATTTTGAAAACGAAATATATGGTCATTAGCAGAAACCCTCCAGAAAACCCGATAATATGCATAGGTGACAATCGTATAAATCGCGGGAAAATTTTAAATACCTTGGCACCACAATCAATGACCAATCGGATCCACAACACGAGATAAAAACCCGAATACAAATGGCAAGACAAGCTTTTGTGAAATTCAGACCACTCCTATGTAATCAACACCTAAACTTCGAAATACGCTACAGAATGGTCAAGTGCTACATATGGTCCATCTTGCTTTATGGCATGGAAACGTGGACTTTGAAAAAACATCTATCAACAAACTTGAAGCATTTGAAATGTGGTCATTGAGAAGAATGATGCGCATACCTTGAGTGGACAGAGTTCGAAACGATGACGTCCTTAATAGAGCCGGCGTGGAAAGAGAACTCTTTGAATTAATTAAAAAACGCAAGATTGGTTACCTTGCGCATATATTGAGAGGAGCAAAATATGAAATACCACAGTTAATCCTACAAGGGAAGATCGAAGGTAGGAAAGAAGCCGGCCGCAAACAATTATCCTGGTTAAGGAATATTAAAGAATGGACAGGAATACACCATACAGGTGAGCTGTGTCACGCCGCCAAGAACAGAATTCTAGTAATGAGATAGTCGCCTACGCACTTTGGTGTATGGCATGTTAAGAAGAAGAAGGAGCAAGTAGAGCAAAGATTCTGTACTACAGAGGCTATAATCTGTAGGACAGCAGAGGTTAAAGAATATGTATATTAGGCCTGTCAAGTTGTCCCATAATTAGTAGCCTTTTTGTAACATCAATGACGCTTTTTTCAATAGGCTTGGAGCGTCTAGTTTGACTCATACAATTTTCGATTCTTTCTTTATTCCATAAAAGCTTAAATTGTTTTGTTCAGCTGTGTTAGTATCTCTTAATACTTTTTACAGTCTCCTTACTAGAAAGAGTGTTGTCTCTCCTTTGTTACTTGTTGTGTATATAGTTCTTTCTTAAGCTCTCTTAAGGAAAAACGGGAGATCAAAATCCGAACTCACAGAATCCGAATACTCTTGTCCCTTCACAAGCGAAGAAGTCATAATAGTTGGTAAAGATGTAAAACCAGATAATTCTCCAGATTTTGATAATATCCTCCAAGAATTTTTATAAAATAGCGGTAAATATGTAAGAGAATGGATAACAAACGTTTTCGCAGACATCATGAAGACGGGTAACATACCTCAAGAACTTAAACGCTCAAAGGTCATTGCAATAATAACCTGGCAAGCCAAATGACGACAATCCCAAAAACTACAGCCTATTATCAACAACTTTTAAGCTACTAGAACTACTCAGCGACAATAGAATCAGCACAAAACTCCTTAAAGCAATACCAATCGAAAAAATGAAGTTCTGATAAAATGCGTTAGGATTTCACGGCCATCGTCTAACTTGTTGAAGTGTTTGCTCGAGCTAGACCGTTGTCTCCGTTCGGCTCGCGAAGGTAATGAGAGGTGGAGAGCCGTCGTTTGAGGTGTCAGGTTTGTAGAAATGCACTCGGGATGCTTAGGTATCTCGGTCACCGGTTTACATTTCTAGTATTCGAGACGAGTCCCTCGTGGGATCACTCTACTCTCATTCCACAAGAGCCAGGTGAGGTTGAACAAGCTGAGCCTGTAGATACCTCTCACGGCCTTACACCACCGAAAGTGGTGTCGGTGTCTCGGCACGTATCCACATGGATGACTTAAGAGTGGTAGCGAAGTGATCCCCGGCGGCGACCTGTCTACGTGCGAGGTGGAATTCCTCCGCCTGCGTCATCTGTCATCTTCGACCCCCTGGTGGGGGGGGGGTGGAAGTTTTGATGTTTCGGGTGTCGGACTGGAGGGGGAGTGGAGTCGCTAACGGTCGTATGCCGAAAGGCCAGGTAGACCAGGGTCCTGCCAAATTTTATATTTAGAGGGCTATGTTAGGCCGTTGTCTTCTGAGATTAGTTCTCGGCGTTTCGCCAACACTAGGGGTTGGCATCTTCTGGAGATTTTACTGCTTCGCTTCTAAGCTGAAACTGACGGAGTTCTGATTAAAGAGAAGTTGCCCTGATTAAGTTCTTTTCCCTACCACCTTTACTGGGATAAGGATTCAGAGAAAACAAAGTTGCAACCAGAAGTTTATAGACCTAACAGCATCGAGCAAAAAGACAATAGAGGGAATGTAAAGGTAGTGGGGGCAAACATATTGTTAGACAGGAAGTGCGATCTTTAGAGGCCACATTAAACAAGGAAAGAGAGTCTCTCTCCTTGTTTGACATCAAATTTAGTTGGGTTATGTTATTGTTTGTCCCAAATGTCACATGAAATCTTATTTATATTGAAGTTTTTTAACAATTGTGTCGCATTTTAGATTCTTATCATCAATAATTAATTAAAACTTTCTCGTCTAAGACACATTCTGAAAAATATTATATAGCTACTGTTGATAAGTGTCGGAAAATTTAAATTTAGCGCCTTTGCATTTCCGGATATGTCCGCCATCAGAGGCCACTTTTTTGGTCTCCTTTTCATAAGGATTAGATTCCCTCTTTTGTCTTATTGCTCGATGCCTAACAGCAGCCTGGAATAAAGTTAAGAGAGAGGGTATAGTTTGCAAGCTTCTCCAAACAATTCCTTATAAATCCACCGCTTAAATAATCGACAGTATGTTGAGCGACCGAACGTTCCAGTTGGCGAAGAGAACCGACATTAGCACAGCTAGAAACCTGAAGAATGGATAGGTATTAGCTCATCTGCTCTTTAACGTGTACATCGCAGAAAAAGCGGTAACCATATAGGAAAAGTTTGCCAAAGCTGGCGACTGGGTTGTTTCAACAAAGAGTAAATCATTTAAAGCAACTGAGGAAACTCTTTCGATGGATTATGTCCGACTGTGTCCTTAGACACAGCAGGAAAGTACTTCCGTAAATGTAAACTCCAACCTAACGCCATGAACACAGAGGTTTGTGGTGACCATCGATAAAACCTTATACTTCAAAGAGCATCTGATAAAAACAGCGGAAAAATTAAAATCCAAAAACAATATCATCCAGAAGCTGTGCCACAGAACATGGAGATGCTCTCCATGTTCTGTGGCAGTTCAGCATCCACTTTGCTTTCATCTGGCCTGGGCCTAGTCTTCTCATCAGCGAAGTAATGTTCCTCGGTCTGGCTTAACAACCTACATGTACAAAAAAATAGATATCTAACCAAACAACACAATGAGAATGATTGCTGACGTTGTCAAATCCACTCCCACGCAATGACTTCCAGTCCTGAGCCACATTGCTCCACCCAAATTACCACGCATACACTCACAAATGAGCACAAAAAGACAACTGTAACCTATCAATTCACCGAGACTGCTCCTCCAGGTGACCTCCAACAAAATCAGTTAAGTCAGCTGTGGAAGAACAGTTCAACGTAATTGCATGGACCCGAGAATGGAATAAATAACAAAGTGGTAAAATACCTTGTAGCACCAAAAAAACCGCTAGGGTTCGATATTATATATATTTTGCTGAAAGATTTGTTATCAAGTATCTTTTTGTCAGTTTTTTATTTATATACACATGTTGTTGATTAAATTTAGGATCAAGTAAGTTGTAAAATACACCGAAAGCAATTAAAAGTCATTGTTATAGAACAAGCACTCTAACTAATAATAACCCGTATAAGCTAGCGAAAAAGCATTCATTCTACTTCCTACTAAAAACATATTTTAATAATGTGAAAGAAGTGTTGTTGTGTTGAGTCAATACTTGAAATTAAAAAATAAAAAACTATCGAGTTAATGAACAACTTTAAAGAAACGAACATTATGAGAAAACAATATTTGTCTTTAGTTTCTTAATAGTATCGAAGAAAATGTAGCCAGTTGCAATAAGTTTTTTAATTTGATCGTTTCTCAACTCTTTCTTTCAGTTAAATATAATTTGGTATAATTATATTTTTTATTATTTTATACAGATTATCTTTTACTACAATACGAACCTCAAGTTGATTGCTAAGAACAAAGTATGTATCTACACTTTTTAATATAAACTGCGCATCATTAAAAAAAGCCACCTAAAATTTTTGGCATTTTTAAATGTTTAAGAACCGTACAAGAAATTGATTGCCATTAGATGTTTGTGTATGTAATGTTTAAAAATATGTTCTAAAGCAGTATGCAACCATATTTTAAATAACAAATGTCAAAAAAAACTTCTCCCAAATAATGATTTTAATGAAAAATCACCATTGTAATTTTTTTAACAGTCGTGGTCAAAGTCGTGGTTTTTAATATTCTGTATTACAACCTTTATTTTGAATTACACTCCTCATTCGACTTGGAATTAAATTAATCAAATTCTGGATGTTGTCTTGAGGAAAAACTTCCCATTATTGCATGAGTGCCAATTTACGCTGCTCACGCAGGTATTCTGTTTCTTACCCTTCTTTTAAGTTGGTCTTAAACATCCTCAATCGGTTTTAAATCTGGGCTTTGAGCCGGCCAATTCATTTTTAGCACACCGATGGTCCATTGGCATTACATGCTAGTCTAGAATTTCGGTAATGTATCGGTGAGCTTAACTTTGATGTTTTGTGCTTTTGTAAATACCATGAACTTTGTTTTCTTCAAATTGATTTTTAGTCCATAATCGTTGCAATATATATTTAGTTGTTCAGCAAGGTGTTGCAGTTCTTCTAGTGTTCCTGCCAAAAGGACGGTGTCGTCAGCATATCTTATGTTATTAAGTGGCTCACCGATTATTATAAGGCCCTCACTGATCTCGGCAAGCGCTAATTCTGAGATGGCTTCACTGTATAAATTGAATAACAAGGGTGATAAAATACACCCTTGGCGGACCCCACGGCGAATCTGGATATCCTTGGTCAGTTCGTTTTCAACTTTCACTTTTGCTGTTTGATTCCAATAGAGGTTACAGATGATTCTAATGTCTCTACTGTCTATGTTTTTATTTAATAAAATTTCTTTAAGTCGATTATGTTGCACTCTGTCAAATGCCTTCTCAAAATCAATGAAACAGGCATATACTTCCTGATTAATATCTAAGCATCTCTGCGAAAGAACACTTATTGCAAACAGTGCATCTCGTGTTCCCAGTCCTTTCCTAAATCCCATTTGTGTATTACTTATGCCTTCATCTAATTTCTTATGTATTCTATTGTGAATTACTTTTAAAAACAATTTCAAGACATGACTCATTAAGGCTATGGTGCGATGTTCATTGCACTCCTTTGCATTGGCTTTTTTGGGAAGCAGTATGAATGTTGATTGGAGCCATTCTTTAGGTATTATACCTGTTCTATATATGGTATTGAATAGATCCAAAAGAAGATCAATAGATTCAGTATTCACAATTTTAAGTAATTCGATAGGAACTTCATCAGGCCCGGGAGATTTACCATCTTTAGCTTGTTTCATTGCATATTCAATTTCTTCTCGTATAATGTCAGGCCCAGTATCATCCTTAAATTCTTTTGGTGCTTCTGTTCTCTCTTTGTCTTCAAATAGTTGTGTCCATCTCTACATTTTTTGGTTTATATCTCTTATGAGTGCACCCCTTTCATCTCTTAGTTGCCTAGTTTGAAGTGTTTTTCTCATTCCTGTTAATTCTCTAATTCTTTTATGCATGTTAAAAAAGTCATATTTTTTCTCAATTTCTTCTAGTTCTTGGCACTGCTCATGTAACATTCTCTTCTTAGCTTCTTTTATTCTCTTTTTTATTAATCGATCAGTTTCATTATATTTAATTGGATTTTTTGTTTTGAATGATTTTCTTTCATTCATTAATAGTAGTATTTCTTCAGTCATCCAATCTTTATGTTTTCTATTCTTTGTTCTCTATTTTTAATATAAGATTGATGTTCACTTATTCTAACATTTGAACTAAAAACCTTGAAGCTCTTTAACTCAAAAACAATTGATTTTTAGGTCTTATGGCACTGAGAACTTTTGATCAGCATGACCGAAGCGAAGTCTCTGGCAAAGTTTCAGCCAATTTAACTGAATCCACTTTTACATTATACGTCACCTCAAAAAAATAGATAACTCGAAAATTTTTATTTTTGAAGTAAGTTTACCAATAGATGTAAATATATCATCTTTATGTTATGCTACAACCAGACAATTCACAAAGTACCCTTTGAGTCAATATTTAACTTTATAAAACACCATTTGTTTAATACTTCTTCTTCTCTTCTTTGTCAACCATTTTCCATCCACTCCTGAATGTAGGTCTCTCCCAATTGCTTCAATCTTTCTATATCTTGCGCCAATCTAATCCACTGTTTCCCTGCCACTGCTCTTACGTCATCTACCCATCTTTTTTGAGGTCTTCCCATGCTTCTTGTTGTCGTTCTTGGTCTCCATTCTAGAATTCTCCGTGTCCACCTGTTTTCATTATATAGGGCTACGTGACCTGCCCAGCGCCATTTCATTTTTGTAATTTCTTTCACAATATCCCTAATCTTCGTTCTACGTTTTATCTCGGTCTTTCTAATCTTGTCTCTTAGTGGTAGGTAAAAACTGATAGTATGCATGTGTTATATACCTTTTTCTTTAAGTTTATAGGAATGGGGGTGTTTTTCAAGATATGTGCTAGTTTGTAGAAAGCGCCCCAAGCCAAGTGCGGCGCGAAATGATGTGGGCGCAAAATGGTGTGGACGCAAAGTTGTGTGGACGAAAAATGGTGTGGGCTCAAAATAATGTAGGCGAAAACTGGTGTGGGCGAAAAATGGTGTGGGCGCAAAATGGTGTGGGCGAACAATGGTGTGGGCGAAAACAGGTGTGGGCGCAAAATGGTGTGGGCGAAAATTGGTGTGGGCGAAAAATGGTGTGGGCGCAAAATGGTGTGGGCGAAAAACTGTGTGGGCGAAAAACTGTGTGGGCGCAAAATGGTGTGGGCGCAAACAAGTGTGGGCGAAAATTGGTGTGGGCGAAAAATGGTGTGGGCGCAAAATGGTGTGGGCGCAAAATGGTGTGGGCGAAAAATGGTGTGGGCGCAAAATGGTGTGGGCGAAAAATGGTGTGGGCGAAAACTGGTGTGGGCGAAAAATGGTGTGGGCGCAAAATGGTGTGGGCGAAAAATGGTGTGGACGAAAACAGGTGTGGGCCCAAAATGGTGTGGGGAAAAATTGGTGTGGGCGAAAAATGGGTGGGCGCAAAATGGTGTGGGCGAAAAACTGTGTGGGCGAAAAACTGTGTGGGCGCAAAATGGTGTGGGCGCAAACAAGTGTGGGCGCAAAATGGTGTGGGCGCAAAATGGTGTGGGCGAAAAATGGTGTGGGCGCAAAATGGTGTGGGCGAAAAATGGTGTGGGCGAAAACTGGTGTGGGCGAAAACTGGTGTGGGCGAAAAATGGTGTGGGCGCAAAATGGTGTGGGCGAAAAATGGTGTGGGCGAAAAATGGTGTGGGCGAAAACAGGTGTGGGCGCAAAATGGTGTGGGCGAAAATTGGTGTGGGCGAAAAATGGTGTGGGCGCAAAATGGTGTGGGCGAAAAATGGTGTGGGTGAAAAACTGTGTGGGCGCAAAATGGTGTGGGCGAAAACAAGTGTGGGCGCAAAATGGTGTGGGCGAAAATTGGTGTGGGCAAAAATTTGTGTGGGCGCAAAATGGTGTGGGCGCAAAATGGTGTGGGCGAAAAAATCAAAGAAGCGGCTTTCATTATGCTAAATGAGGCCAATTGTGTCGCAAATTCCTCGGTAGAATGTAGTAGGATCTGGTTACCAATATTGAAAGAGGAAGTTATTAAAAAGAAAATACCAGTATTAGTAAGTCAGTAACATATAGAGGATACATCATGTATGTTTTTTAAATAACGAAACATATAAAATCAGAATTTTGGTGTTTATTGAAGGTAAACTAAATGCACGAACAAATACTTACCATGTCGGGATAGTATTATGAGGTTTTTTCCCTGGTTTTTTCCTCATAATTTACTATGGAATTACTAACAGGAGAATTTTACAGTCATCATGTCATGTGTTTGTCTTTTTAAAGACGAATTACATGCTATGATTTTTTTCTGAAGAATATTCTCAAGTTAAAGTTGATTTCATGTAATCGAATGAACTATCTTATAAGTAAAGTCGTCCCAGGAGCGCAACTCAACAATATTGGCAATATCATTTTAAAATCATCTACTTTAAAATGCATAATGAATGTCTGAATTGTCAATATAAAAGAGTCAGATAAAATTAAATTATTAGAAGAATTTTTCACTATGTAACAAAAAACAAAATTTGTTTAATTTACTGTTTGTATTTTGAGAACGATTTCCGAAGTGGAAATTGAAACGTCAATAAACGTATTTTTATCTTTAATTGTGGCTTATTCCCAGTTAAATAGTAATTAATTCTATTCTTTGGTTTTAAGTTTTCATTTGCTGTTTTAATTATTGCTGCTTTTATATTTTCCCATTTCTGATCAATGTTATAGCTACTTTTATTCAGTTCTTGGGCATTACGTATATTTTCAGTAGGAGTTTTTACAGTTTGTTCCTTTGTTTGTGGTTCCCTTAATCTCTTAATATCAATTCTACTTTGTGTGGGTTTTTTAACCAGTTTTAATTTGGTTCGTAATGTGACTACTATGGGGTTATGGTCTGAACCGATGTCTGCTCCAGGGTAAGTTTTGGCAGACAGTATAGAATTACGAAATCTTTGTCTAATAAGAACAAAGTCAATTTGATTTCGGATTATTCTATTCGTTGTATCACCGGGAGATTTCCATGTATACAACCTTCCAAAGCCCTTAGACCAAATTCCCGCAAATCTTACTGTAGAAGTGCTTAATGTCCACCCGTGAGCACTTTGAGAACGGATTTGGATTGCTCTAGCCGTAAAGAACCGATTTTGCAAGGAAGTGCGTTGTAAAGAACGGTCATCTCTATACGTGATTCTTCTCGCACCTGATCCTGGTCGTCGTTCGTGAGATCCAGTCTTTACGAATCGTTGGTAGGTTTTTGGAGTACACAACGACTGACTAAAAGCTCTATGGCCACTTCTCTTTGAGTCTTTCCATTATCAATTAAAGTAACAATTTGAACAAATCTCTTAGTTTTGCACACTTTTAAACAAAGTTTAAAAATTGCACAAGTTCACTCTATGAACGACTGTACACTAATGTATATTTTTGAAAAACATAGTAGGCATATTAGAAAAACAAAGTACAAACAACACGTGCATTCTCCGAAGTCGTAAAATTGATATCAATTTTGCAAACTTATTACCTGTCGGCAATTTGTGGGAGTTTATTTACAATAGAATAAATGCATTAACATAAAATTATTGAAAAATTCTTATAAAATTCCTTTTAATGACGCGCAGTGTATTTGTTATAGCAAAAGAAAAGATTGTAATAATTTAAAAAATTTAATATCAACTGTAAAAATTGTACAACATGTTTTAACAATATTTTCAAGTATTGACCCATTACCAACATTTGCATTTGTACGTAAAAAGTGAGAAGTGTACGTAATCTTAGTTACATTTACAAGAAACCAGGGACTTACGGTGGCAGGAGCTACCCTGGTAGCATGTCCTAGAGCGGATCCTACGTCTTCACCTGCAACTACTTGTCCCGAAGGCTGGGAAGCATGCACTGTCGCCGTAGCTACGTAACTTGTCTCCTGCACCACCCATTAAGGTTAGTTAAATTAGGAGGTTAGAGAGAAGCGGAATTTTACATAGCTTAGTTAGTTTAGTAATAAAAAGCACAATATTATTTTTGATCGATATATAATGAACGTTTTTAAGCTTTTCTAAAGTTACACTACCAGTTTTATGCTATTTATTGATTGTCTTTTATATCCAATGATAATTTCAATACGATTTCGATACGTGAACACTGTTAATAACAAAATTACTGTATTTGAGATAACCCATGTATGGAATAGAAATATTTTATTTTTTTGGCAATATTAGCTGATTAAAAATATGATTTTCATCACAATCACAATCAATAATTGTGGCTTAATCCCCTAAAAAAAAATAATATTTAATTTAATTTTTTGTTTTGCATCTAAAAGTGTCCTGTCATTAAATAAATACAATATTTTAACATACTTTTAACACACGGAATCTATGACACTGAAGAGATGAGTATATAACAAAAAATCCATATATCAATTTCAGGAAAGTTAACTGGGAACTCGAGAACAGAAAGCAATAGATAAATGTATGACTGAAGAGATATTTTTATTGATGGAAGAAAAGAGGATAATTTAAAGAAGGTTAGATAATTTAAAGAGAAAAAGCAAATAATTTTAGGATTATTTTAACATACACGGGAAACTGAAAAAAGTAATAGGAGCCAGAAAGAAAAGGCACCAGTTGGGTAACTTAACTATGGATGATAACAAATAGAAGCAATATGAATAAATATATGGCGAATTCCACAGAAATTATACACTTTTTCGATGAAAAAAAAAAATAATAATAATTTCTGAAATTTGAGATCACACTCTTAGAACCATTTTTTTTTTATTTTTTAATACTCACATCTGAAGAAAAAAAATAGTGCTACCATCAGGAACGAAGGTAATCGAGCCTTGTTTGCGAGATTTCAATTTTTTTTATAGCTCTTTTTTATCCGAATTGTCTATTAAAGGCCTCTCCCATTTCTCGCCATTCATCCCTGTTGTGTTCTAGGCGTTTCCACATTGGTCCTGCGACTCTTTTGATATCGTCGCTCCAGCGCATTTGAGGTCTTCCTCTTGGTCTCTTCGCAACGTACGGTCGCCAGTTTCCGACTTCTTTGTTCCATCTACCATCTTCGAGACGTTCGTTGTGTCCAGCCCATTTCCATTTTAATTTAGCTGCTTGTTTCGCGGCGTCCTTTATTTTTGTTTTGTTCCGGATTGCTTCGTTCGTTAGCCGAACTATTAGTGAGATACCAAGCATCTGTCGTTCCATGGCTCGCTGAGTTTTTCGAATCTTGTCCATGTTCTTTTTTTGTGAATGTCCAGGTTTGAGCTCCGTAAGTGAGAACGAGAAGGATACAAGAATCGAACACTTTGGTTCGAAGGTTTTGGGGTATCTTTTTATCTTTCAGTATGTATGAGAGTTTTCCAAATGCGGCCCATCCCATTCTTACTCGTCTGCTTAGTTCGGTAGTTTGGTTTTCTTTGTTTAACTTGATATTTTGACCCAGATATATGATCATCTTTATTCGGCATTAGCTTAGTTTTACTCAGATTCATTTTCAGTCCTTTTTTTATGGATTCCGTATGAAGCTCATCGATCATCGTCTTCAGTTCTTTCCAGCTGTCGGCTATTAGTACTACATCATCAGCATATCTTAGATGGTTTAAATACTTTCCGTTTATCGATAGTCCCTTCGTTTCCCAATTTAGTGATTTAAAGATGTCTTCAAGTGCGGCAGTAAATAGTTTTGGAGATATCGTGTCTCCTTGTCTTACTCCTCGGTTGACTTTTATTGGCCTCGATTTCATTCTGTCATCCATCGTGACTACCATTTCAGCGTGTTGATATATATTATGTATTAATATCCTATATCTAGAATCTATTCTGCTGTTGACCAGTGCTTCCTCAATAGCCCATAATTCTATACTGTCAAAAGCTTTCTTGTAGTCTATAAATGCTAAACAGACTGGTAAATTGTATTCGTTAACTTTTTCTATTAGGACCTTTAGTGTGTGAAGATGGTCACATGTACTGAACCCTTTTCTAAATCCGGCTTGCTCTACTGGTTGATATACATCGAACTTTGTTGTCAATCTATTTGTAATTATTTTTGTGAATGTTTTATAAAGTTGTGATACTAGTGATATTGGACGATAATTTTTCAGGTCTGTATTGTCCCCTTTTTTGTGTATTAATATTGTGTTAGCAGTATTCCATTCCTTTGGTATGTTTCCTTCAAATAGGCATTTATTAAAAAGTATTTTTAGGTACCTGATGACTTGTCCGCCTTGTTTCAACATTTCAAAAATTTAATAAGCGAAATAATAGTGATTTTGGATTGTAACGATTTCGAGACTTAAAATCACTGTATGATCTGTTCAAAAGAACCTATAAACCTTAAAAAAAAACAAATATGAAGGCTTTTTTATACTTTTAAAATAATGATTTTGTTGCTCTCCTCATTTGCAATCTACAGGGTGAGTTTTAACTATGGAACGCCTGAATTATTTCGGAATTGGCTAGCACGATTTTTATAGATTTTGGTGATGAATTTAAAGAAGAAGAACGATGATATCAATAGTTAAGAAAGGAGACCTGATAGTGGGCGAAGATCAAATAGTAGTAGAAGAAATACCAAAGCCCACAAGAGAAGAAATTGAATAAATAATAAAATATACGCAAAAACAAAAAAGACCGTGGAGAGCGACATTGTGGTAGAGAATTTAAAATATGGAGGAAAGGCTTTACGAAACCAACTTCGTGAGCTAATGGCAGATATGCGGGAAGCCAAAAAATGCCCCAAGAATGGTAGAAGTTCATTATAATTCCCATACACAAAAAGGGAAAATTGAATGCGCAAACTATAGAGGAATATCCTTCTTAGAGGTAATATACAAAGTGCTCGCCACACTAATTAAAAACAATTAGAAAAGTGGAGAAGAATCTAGGAGAACACCAGGGAGGATTTCGCAAAGGAAGATCAACAATCAATCAAATTTTTATGCTAAAACAAATCCTGATCAATTGATATGAATACAACATTTCAGCACAAGTACTTTTCATTGTTTTCAAAGCGGCCTACGATACAATAGACATAAACAAATTAAGAGAAACGCTAAAAGAATTCCAAGTGCCAGAAAAAATAAGGTTGGTAAAAATGACAATTACAAAAACCATTTGTGCTGTGAAATACAATGGTACAGGCTCAGAAGAATTCGAAGTAAAAACAGGTGTTCGCCAAGGAGACCCGTTGTCTACCTTGTTATTCTATAGCAATAGAGTTCTAGAAAAAAATTGTAAGGGTTAGTTGGATAAATAGGTCCGATACTCTCTTCTACAAAAGAAATGGAAAAGAACTGGCAAGTATGTCAAAAAAACTGATTCGGAAAATCTCTAAAATGGAACTGAAAGTTAATATTAATAAATCCAAGTACATGGAAATCTCGAACAAAAAACGAATAAACACTAGGGGCTCCTTTAAATTATAGGTGGATGATGGCTCCATTGTAGAATTTAAGAACGTGAGTGAATATATGTACTTAAGTACAATAATTGATCAGACATGTAAGGAAGAAACTGAAATCAACCTGAGACTGACCAAGAGCAACAGATGTGCTTGGATCATAAACAAAATAATTAAGGCCAAAGATATATCTCGTAATGCAAAAATAAGAGTATACAATGCTATAATAAAACCCACAATGCTATACGCCGGACTATGAACAAAACCATACAGAAAAGATTGGAAGCATGGAAAGAAAGATACTTCGCAGAACGTTTGGTGGAAAAGTAGTAGAGGGAGATGGAGAAGACGAACTAATGCAGAAGTATACATTGTATGCTAATCCTACAATATCAAAACTAGTGAAAAAACGTAGATCAGAATGGCTCGGACATCTAGAAAAGTAATATCGGTCAAGTAGTAATAAGTCAAGAATATCGGTTGGAGAGTATCTGAAAGAAAAAATAAGAGAGAAAGACTAAGAGAGAAATGAAGATATGTAGTGATGGAAAATGTCAGAGAGATGGGAATCAAAGATTGGAAGCTAACAACCAAGAACGATGGAAATTACCCATCCAGCAATGGGCCCAAAATCCTGTTAATGCTATACATACCTACTTGGTCAACCCTCTTCTGAGTGTTAAAAATATCATGTCTTGCTTCCCATTTCTTAACATTTTATGGATATCCACCTGTCTTTCCCTTCTTTTATTTTCCGTTTTATCTGGTATTAATTTCTGCATATTTGGATTTGTTTTTATATGTTCTTCTTTCTTCCATCTTCTCAAGAAGTTTTTGTGTCATCAATTCTAGTTTATCTCTCTCTTGTCGTTTCCTCATTGCTGAGGATCGTGATTCCCTACAATGCGGGCTGTCAATTCTCTCCATCTCTTGCGATTTTGGGCTGCTCTCATGGACTCGGAAAACGTCTCTCCAGTGGCTTTCTGTACTTGATCTGACCATCGGATAGGTGAGCGTCCTCGGCCTCTACGTCCTTCTACGTTTCCGCACACAATTAGTCTTTCTAAGTTGTCATTGTCTCTTCTCGCAATGTGGCCAAAAAACTTTAAAACATTTGCAAGACACTGAGAGGAGAGTCTGGTCTGAATGTTTAGCTCTTCGAGAATCGACTGATTGGATCTGTGCTCCGTCCACGAGACGCGTAGCATTCGTCTCCAGCACCACATTTCGAATGCGTCAATCCTTTTCCTATCCTCTGATTTTATTGTCCATGTTTCGGCACCGTAACTAAAGATTGAAAAAACGAGTGTCCGTACCAGTCTCATTTTGAGTTTTTTGGACAAAGAGCGGTCCTTCCATATTTTTGACAGTCGACTCATCGCGTTCTTGGCCATTCCTATTCTTCTGCGAATTTCCGTATGGCAGGAGGCTGCATTGCTTAAGGAAGATCCTAGATACGTGAACTCGTCTACTTTCTCGAATTGATTTAGGGCGCCTGTTGTTTGGAGGATATTCGCGTGGTCCGCAATCATGATTTTTGTTTTCTGATTATTAATCTTGAGCCCACACTTGTTGCTTTCGGTTTCTACTCTCTTTATCAGTCTCGACATCTCTTCTTCAGATGTTGCTATCAGTGTTGTATCGTCTGCGAATCTTAAGTTTGAGATCTTTTTCCCTGCAATGGAGATGCCGCCTCTCCATCCATCGAGTGCGTTCCTCATTATGTATTCTCCATATAAATTGAACAGGTCTGGAGATAGTATGCAGCCTTGTCGTACACCTCTGCTGGTTTTGAAGGTATCAGATTGCTGGTTTTCAATTCTTATTTTAACTGAGTTATCTTCGTATAAGTTTTTAATTAATATTGCCAAATGATCTGGAACTCCCATCTCATGAAGAACTGTCCAGAGAACTTCCCACTTTACACAATCAAATGCCTTTTGGTAGTCTAGAAAACAGATTATTATTGGAATTTTAAATTCGCGATCCTTTTCTATGAGCTGCCGCATATTAAGGATTTGCTCTCTCGTACCCTTCCCTTTGACAAAGCCTGCTTGTTCTTGGGGAATTTGGTTGTCTAAGTACTGTTGCAAACGGCGTTTAATGATTCTTAGTAATATTTTGCTTGGATGGGAAATCAGTGAGATGGTACGATAATTACTACACTTTGTAGTTGTAGTACTATACTTTGTAGTAGTCTAGTTTATAGTTTTTATTAATGTTAATGATTCCCGTTGCACAACCTGCAGTGTATTCTACATATACTTCCATTTTATTAAGTCTGGGGCGTTCCCATTTCGTTGTGTAATTCCTTGGGATATTACGAATAGTTTTATTTTAAGTTTCTTGATAAGTGTTTGATTCTTTAAATTTATCAATGTTTATTCGTGGTTTTAGCTCTGTCTTTAGACCTTTTTCCAGTTGCATTATTCATTTTCGCCACTACCGGATTGTGATCCGTTACATAAGTTCCAAGTTAAGTCTCCTCCACTACTGTCAAAATATAATTTATCTCAATTTCTAATTATATCCTTTATGTCTTCAGAGACCAATTGTTTAGTTTGGCATATTTGGATCATTATTTTATCCCTCTCATTTTTCTTTCCTTATCCATACTTTTAACAAAATTATTCAAACTTTGGCATTAAGGCCATCGATTACTATAAGAACATCTCATTTTTTATTGTTTCCTCCACAGTGGTAAAGGGGTCACCACAGGACATATCTAAATGAATATGGGTGAACCGTCTACTCTAAGAATATTGCAGATTTTGCATATTGGTAAATACAGACAAGCAAGCAAGAGTTGTGTACTGTGATATGTCTTAGTAATGATTTATGAACAACCCCTATTGCGTTCAAAGTGTAGTTTTTGGACGAATGTTACAATAAAGGCAGGTAAATAGTTTTCTTGGTTTTGAATGACCCGACAACTTCGTCGAAAACCTTTATAGTGATCGTGTAACGATTTGGTGAGCTAGGTCAGTAATGGCTTATTGGGTCGTATTATAAGCGTACAAAAAACGTTACCCTAACTTAAGTGAGATATAGAGAACAAATCCGATCCCTAGAACTGTTTCCAGAAAATTTTGGAAACTGCAATTTTAAAATCTTGTTAAGCATTAGGAATATTTGAGGAGCACATCAAATACATTTTTATCCGCAAAAAAGCTTTTTCAATGCCGTTTGTTTTGACCTATACTGTAATGTATTACTGATAATATTAATGTATAGTCCATACGTATAATTATTTGTTATCTCAAAATCTCAATCTTTCAAAATTATAAATTAAAAAAATGTTTAATAATGCTGAACATAATACATAAAATAAATTCTAACTATTTATAGAAGTAACATCCCATTCAATATAATTTGTGTTAGTTTATTATTCAAAATTTTCTACACACTTACCGCACTTGTAGTTTGCGGAGATACCCTGTTTGAAGATATGAGAGAATCGGCATCGACAGTATGCTGAACAACATACTGACCCCCGGTGGTAGTGTATCCCACTGTTCCGGTTACTGTCGTAGTGCCAGAGTTGGTGGCTGCGTAGTACTGACTCTGTCCCTGTCCAGCATTCGCTATTGGATATAGTGTCGCAGATTCTCCGACAGCATACACCGGATACGCCCTAGAATAGAAGATTTGTAACATGATTATTAATTACTTATTAAATTAGCTAGTAATGGCGAGGTAAATGAAGTGAAACGTCAAGTAAATAAAGCAAATTGAACCACCAATTCATTTACGCTGACTTTGTATTTAATGTTTGATGCAGACAAGTGAAAATAAATATTTATCAACAAAAATGACTGTTTTTAAAATATTCTTCTTGAAATCTATAAAGTTAAACGAATTTGCGAAACACTTTTTTTCTTCGGAAAAAGGTCGTAAGTGGGCTAGTTCCTATAGAAACTTTAATCAATGCAATTATAGTTCAAACGACTACCTTTAATCATTTAAAAAAGAGCAGTAGCATCCATACTGCCTGGTAGAGCGAGTTAAAACACTCGATGAGTGGCATATAATAATTAATGAATAGCGTCAGTGTCGTCCCAAATCCATCTGTCAGTGCGTCATAGTTGATCGAATTCACTATAACTCATTGAGTTAAAAGTGATTATTATACATAGAACTTAGAAAATTATGTATCGTTTACGGGTTGGAGTAATTGGTTGGAGTTTAGAATACGCTAAATAGCTATCTATACAATCAATGATGAGCATTAACATAATTTGACGCAGATGGTCTCGATCGTGACAATACTTTCATAATGTCAACTGATAAAATGATAATTGTCATTCCAGGTTAGTATTTTCCATCGAGTTTTTCAGACATTTTACAGTGAAAATTTAATTTTTTATTTACTGTTATAAAAATATTTTAAAGATGATTTATTATTAAATTGTTTTCAATTAAAAAAAAATATATTAATAGTAGTTTAAATACTATTCATTTTAGCGTGTTGCCGAGGCGTTAGGAGTTTCGTTACCAACAGTAAGACGATTGGCAAATAAAGGCATTCAAACAGATGTTCAATACTCTTTCATTTGCACACCAAATCTGGTAGAATAACTCAAAAATCAACTGCTTCACTATTTGAACTATTTCTATTATTTAATGATAAATCTTGAGAAAATTAAACTATTGGCTGCCACAGAAACTTATCGGAAAATTACTTATCCGAATATGACTGATTTCAATTGATCTATTTTATCACAGAAATGTTTGCTTTGATGCGTTGTGCCTTGCAATTGCCAGTAATTTTTTGTATCTTCTCGCAGTTAACTCTCGCAGAAACTTCTCGCAGAAGCGTTATATTTTAAATAAACAAACATTCCAATTCCATAGTGTTTGTAATAAATAATAAAAAATCCATAAACAAATCTTAGCTAATTAAGCACTTTTCTTGGAATGTATAGAATAGGAATTATGACAAACTGCCGTTCCAATATAATGCGCAATAAAAATTTTTATACAGGACGGGACCACTAATATGTAAATTACATAAAAATTTGAACTATTAAAGTTTTTACTCCACCTTTAAAAAAAAATAATCTGTTCACATTTAGCCGATTACGATCCTGCAACTGTCAGATTTAAGTAAAATGTCATGCAATAATTCTCGACATTCTTAAAATCCTATATAACATCAAAATTAGTGACGCACTGAAAGAAGGGTTTTAGGACAGACTGTAGATACTCCCATTATTCACGATTACTCTTCTTTTTTCAATGAAAGAAGTCTGCAACAGTAAGTTTATTTGAGTTATTAATAGGAAAAAGTAGGAATTTTTGGGTTGTGTTTCCAACAATGAATATGTTAAAATATTCACAAGCTAAGAGAATGGAATATATATAGTTTTTGTTTATAATGTTGGAAGTATGCAGAACAAAACTTTCTGGCACTGAAATGTCACATTCCAGCACACTAATGTCATATTTCAATTATTGTGAGAAATCATCAAGTTCATTAACATACAACTATGCATAAATGCGCTTTTTGAGTAGTGGCTGTAGAAACAAATCATATTATAATCATTTTTGTCTAATTAAGACGAACTGGAAGTTACTAGACAACTATCCAACATTGTTTATTTAAATAGCTGATTGCCTGAATACTTAGTTTGTTCGTCAACGTTAAATATAAATCATTATTTGGTAAAATATTTAGAAGATTTCTATTTTTAACAAGAAGTGTGGTTGTAGAAAAAGTATAGTGTGTAACACGTGCAGAAAGGTAATTTCTTACTCGTTTCAATTGCAACACTATAATAAATTAAATGAACTACTGCTGTAGAGGTGGAGTCGTATAAACATATTTGAACTTACAATTAAAAAATAAAAAAGGGTCATTTATCAAGATAAAAGTATTCTATTTCCTAAGTTTTACCAAAAAATACACTCACACAAAACTTTTATTGGAATCGGTCCAGTAGTTTCGGATATTAGCGTGGACAAACACTGTCGCACTAGCTTTTTTTATATATAACGATAATTTAAAGATAATAATGTACTAAAGAGAGTGAATTAGGACAGAAGATGAAGGTAAAAGTTATTCGTCTTCAAAATATCACTTTGGAATAACATTGACTAATATTCACAAATACGTTGCATCATATTTTTGTTAAAAGGGTACTTACATTTGTGCCTGCCCGCCGTTCGTTTGGGTAGCGTATATTTCTGGTTCGACATACTGGATGTGGTAACCTTGATGAGAAGCCACAGTGTCACTTTCAGCAACTGTAATAAAGAAGGAAAATGTTCAAAATAAAGGAAAAATCGGGTTTAAATGCTGTTTAATTTTAAACTAACTACTTCTAAAGTTTTAATTGACGTATTTCAAATCCCATGCCGTACAAGGTTTTAATTTGCGTTTTAAAATTTCGAACTAAAAGACATACTATGGGTATTTGTTTATAGAGTCTTAATAACACCGAAAAACGCTTTTTCTTTAAACCTCGTAAGTTGCTATAAACACAACGAACTGTTTTGAAGGCGTCGATTCGAACATCATAAACACCTTAAGAAAGAAAAGAGAAGGCATACTATAGTAGCATTCTTACTTTCACACCAAGGCAGAGGTTGTCTTCTTCTTTGGGTGCCGTCTTCAATGAAGGTTAACGATAACCTCAGCAAAATCATTTCTGTCCCTGGCTTTTCTTATTAAAGATTGAGAATCCAAACCAGTCCACTCACGAATGTTCTTCAACCAGGACGCCTGCCGTCTACCAGGACCACGTTTTCCTTCTACCTTCCCCTCTATAAGAAGCTGCAGTAGCTGGTATTCCTCATTTCTGTATATGTGTCCCAAATATGAGGTTTACCGTGTTTTCATTATTTTTAAGAGTTCTCTGTCAGTACCCATCTTGTGTAGGACTTGCTCGTTGCTCATATGCGCTGTCCAGGGGACTTTCAGCACCCTTCGAAATAACCACATTTCAAAACTTTCCAAACGCCTTAGTGAGTTGATTTTGAAGGTCCAGGCCTCCATTCCATATAGTAAGGTGCTGTAAACGTAACATTTCGGCATTCGGTATCGGATTTTGAGATTGAGTGTTTGGGACGTAAACATTTGTTTCATTTTTAAAAAGACATTTCTTGCTTGTTCAATTCGCGATTTTATTTCTATGTCTGGATCTATATCTTTCGTTATCCAGCACCATAGATATCGAAATTTCTCGACATTTTCGATAATGTTACCATTCACGTTTAAAGCCATGGGTGGATGGATGGATGTTTTGGAGACAATCATTGTTTTTGTTTTCTTGACGTTAATGCTGAGGCCGTATTGTTCTCCGATCGATCTGACGCGATCTAAGAGTGTCTGGAGATCCTGTGCGCTCTCTGCAATTAGGACCGTGTCGTCGGCGTATCGTACATTATTTAGAACTCTGCCGTTAACTTTAACACCTTCTCTTGATTGCTCTAGTGCTCGTGCAAAGATTTCTTCCGAATATATATCGAAAAGTAGTGTTGACAATACACACCCCTGTCGTACACCTCGCTTGATATTGAATATTTCTGTGTCACCGGCTTCTGTTCTAACTGCTGCAGTTTAGAAAAAAAGAGATCCTTTTTTTGGTCTCGACATTTTTGCAGCAGTATAATAAAACTGGTTAATACTTCCCGTGTCCCAAATCCATTTCGGAAGCCAAATTGTTCATCACTGATATCCTGTTCACATTTCTTATAAATGCGTTGGTGAATAACTTTCAAGAATAACTTTAACATATGCGACATTAAACTAATAAGTCTGAAATCACCACACTTCTTTGCTCCCTTAGTTTTTGGAAGGGGAATAAAGACTGATTTTAACCAGTCTTGTGGAATTTCACCGCTTGTATATATTTGATTAAATAATTTGACGATTATATTTAAATGTTTCTCTTCCAGTAGCTTTATGACTTCCGTATGTATGTCATCGGGGCCAGGGGCTTTCCCATTTTTTGCGTTTTTGATTGCTCTCTCTACTTCTTGTTTTAATATAGGAGGACTGGTTTCATGGTTTTTATATATTATGTTGTTTAGTGGTGTGTCCGAGAATAGTTCTTCTATGTAATGTCCCCATACGTTGTTTAGATCGCTTAATTCCCATATCGTTTCATTCTCGTCGTTTGTTAATCTACAAGGGAGTCTTTGTTTTGTCATTCCAGCTAGATCTTTTATTTTTTTGTGAAGCGTTTGACTGTCGTGTTTCTTTATTAATTTTTCGATCTCTTGGCAGTTTTCTATCATCCAATTTTCTTTTGCGGTAGCTATTTCTTTCTTGATTTGACGATGTATCTCCCTATATTTTTCATTATCTTTACTTTGTAGGCTCTTCGAGTATCCATCATTCCCAGAATTTTTTGTGTCATCCAGGGTTTAGATTTTCTTTTGTTATTAGTGTCTTTTATATATTTCTCGGCGCTAGTAGCAGAGGTTGTAGCTCATGAAATTTCATTAAAATTATAAAATAAAATTTTTTTGCTTTTTTCTTCTTTATTTAAATGTTCCCCCACCACAATAAAAAAATTTTATGAAAAAAGAGTTGTGCAGATTTTTATTTGGAATGTTTTGGTACCAAATTTGCTCGCTAGCCAATGAGTTATACATACCTCATAGTAATCGTTTTAGAGTTTCGAAGCTCGCCTATATTTATCCACATCGAAAATCGCTGTCAAAGTGTGGGATTATATGTATTTGTTTATTTCGACGATGGCTTTCGATACTTTTTGATGCGAACGTTACAAAAATACTTTTTAATTACTATTACTATTCCGAAAATAGAATACAAAACAGAGAGGAAATAACTAAACAAATTGCAAACAATCTCCGATTAAAATATTTTATGAAATATTTTATTTTTAATTACTAACACACTGAACACTAATAAAAATAAAACTTATATTCGACTAATAAAACAAAATTGAAACAAATTGAACTTTAATTGTTAAAAAATAAAAAAGAATTAAATGTAAATATTTCGAGAGGGTATGGCCGGTAGTTAAAAGGGCCGAAGGTTGATGCTCTCAAAAATTACTTTATATCTCGTTGACAAATAACCAGATGTAAAAAAAGATATTTTTGACCTCTTCGGCAAAAATATTGATAAAGGAGTTTGGCCTCGACATTAACCAAACGGAGTGGTCTGTGAAACTCTATAATATGTCGAATTTATTAACGATAAATTGAAAAAAGAATAATTATTTAGCTTACCAGATTTTATGCAGGTTTCACCACAACTTCAAACAAGAGATATTTATGTCAAAATGCATATTGCTCGGAGTTTAAAAAATGATTGAATCAAGAAAAGTTGTATAGTTTGGACCAAAACGAATTAAAAACGGGGTGGTTTTCATTCACATGGGAATATTTTACAACTTTAATTTAATCATGGCCACAACAAATTAAATTTTGAGAGTGAATATGTAAAATCGCTCTCACGTAAACTAAATTAAGAGAGAATCGCGTAAGTATGCATTGGAAATTTAATACTCTTACCCCAAACATAATTTAATAGGAAAAGAAACTTTTAAGTATACAGATTTGACGTACCACACGAATAAATTTAAGAGAAATTAACATGCCACGAACATTCAAACCTCTCTATAATTCAAAGTTATCATAAGATTCCTTCAAAATCTCTTTATATTTATGACTAAATCAATATATTTTTATGCACTTGGTAATTCGAAAGAAAAAATCATTGATATATAACAAAACGACGCATTAATTCGAACCATGGACGTATAAATTATACGTCCATATGATTCGAACTCATCGGTGTCCAACACTTGACAACTTTAAGTTAATATGTCGAATTTATTAACGATAAATTGACAAAGAATAATTATTTAGCTTACCAGATGTTATGCAGGTTTCACCACAACTTCAAACAAGAGATATTTATGTCAAAATGCATATTGCTCGGAGATTAAAAAAGTATTGAATCAAGAAAAGTTGTATAGTTTGGACCAAAACGAATTAAAAAGGGGGTGGTTTTCGTTCACATGGGAATATTTTACCACTTTAATTTAATCATGGCCACAACAAATTAAATTTTGAGAGTGAATATGTAAAATCGCTCTCACGTAAACTAAATTAAGAGAGAACTGCGTAAGTATGCATTGGAAATTTAATACTATTACCCCAAACATAATTTAATAGGAAAAGAAACTTTTAAGTACACAGATTTGTCGTACCTACACGAATAAATTCAAGAGCAATTAACATGCCACGAACATTCGAACCTCTCTATAATACAAAGTTATCATAAGTTTCCTTCAAAATCTCTTTATATTTCGAACTAAATCAATACATTTTTATGCACTTGGTAATTCGAACGAAAAATATTGATATATTATAACAAAACGACGCATTAATTCGAACTCATCGGTGTCCAACACTTGACAACTTTAAGTTGAAGAGAAAGAGACGGAAATATTGTATGTATCAATTTGACTACATATTTAACACACTTCTCAAGAATTGGTTTGTTTAGGTATTAGTTACTGTTACTCTGTCGTTGGTAACATATAGATTAAAATTTTGTTAGTCATGAGCGCTAGAAAGTATAAATGTTTGACGATTGCTGAAAAGAAGTTAATAAAAAAATTACAGGAAGGTGAGAAAAAAAGTTATGTTGCAAAAGAATTTAAGATTCCTCTGAGTGTTCTCTCAACCATAATAAAACACAAGGAAAAAATTAATGCTGCTCAAACTGCTGGGGTACGAAAACGAACTACTAAAGGTGAATTTCGTCGTTTGGAAGAAAGTGGTCATTTAGCTAAGACAGTGTAGAGGACAAAAAGTGTCTATTAGCGGAAACTTGTTGAAGGAAACAGCAAAAGAGTTCGCGTCTACTCTAAGTATCAAAAACTTAGTGACAATCGAAGGGTGGCTTACACATTTCAAAAAGAGAAATGGAGCTGTGTTTAAAAAAGTTTGTGGGGAAAGTGGAAGTGTTATAACATCTTTCCATGATTGTGTGGTTCTCATATTGTACTTTTTAGATGAACTGATGATGCTTTCAGAATACGAAAGCGAAACGTCTTCAAAATATATAAAGTAGCCTATCAACTTTGTCTTTTATTTCTCCACCTTGAGACCGATATAAGAACCCACCACTCGTCTGAGTGATCCTTATAATATATTGGATTGACGGTCGTACTCCTTTTCCGATATATATATTCAAAACAAAATATAGTTAAAATTAAAATGTTTAAAAATTTTTCTTACTTTTCATCGATCGACACCGTTGCTGACCACTGTTCCACCTACCACCAAACATCCCGATCATGACTTGTCGCGGATAACTGTACGACTAAACTTTCAACCATCAAACACGAAAAAACACCGTACTGAAAATGAAACTGTTCGCCTGGCCCTAAAGAATAACAGAGATCAAGTGTAGTGTTAATAATTTGATCACAATAAACACAAATGCATCTTCCCCCTACCTGTTACGCACACGTCGGAAATATACAACACACGATACAATCGTAGATTTAATATCACAAAGAGTTACGCGAAAAAGGAGATTAGTGAGTTCGAGAGGTGGAAAAACTGACTTAAATCCAAGGGCGGAGATCGAAAATTGTAAATACCTAAAAGTGCATAGGGACAAAACTCTGCACTATGTAAAAAAATTAAAATATTGCAGTGGCAAAGACGAATTCAGCAAGAGAAAATTAATTAAAAAACTATTTAACCCTTTAAACAGCAAGATTATTTTATGATGAACTTTTTTCAAAGCTTTTTCAGATGATAGTGTTACGATAAATATGACTCAACTTTAAACATATTATTTCTAACTCATTCGTCTTTTCTAGATCATATACCAGCCGGCAGAATCTTCAGATAAAAAACTGACGGGTCTCCTACGATTTGAAGTTTCCAGAAGAAGATCGAATGAAAACCAGTCCTGGTGACCTTCTTGTCTGTTCGAAGGGAAACGCCGGAATTCTAGTCTAACGGTTGATTAGTATATATGGGACATTTTATGTAAACAGTCCGAATTACATTTTGTAAATAGATATAAATTAAAGTAGTTGTCTTCTAGTTTTTAGTAATAAGTGTAAAACTGTAATAAATATATAAAGATTCTATTTACCTTATAAGTGTTATAAATGTAGAACCTTTGATAATAAATAAAGACAATAAATTAGATTAATAAAAATACTACAATATTTTGGAATACTATAGTTAGTACATCAGTTACTAGATTTTGAATATATTTGTTTTGAAAATGATTATAACCGTTTCTAGGATAGTAATAGGGAACTAAAACGACATGAAAGAGAACTCAGCCCCATCAACCCCCTAGGCCCCACCCACCAGAACCAAAAAAGTTTAAATTGCAAACCCCTACTTGTGATACATCATTGAAAAGACTATAAAAAATGGTATCCAATGGTATAAATAATAATTATATAGGGTGAAGCAATAATTGTGAAACTTTATATGTGAAAATGTCAATTAAGTAAATGTTCAAAGTGGGTTCCGTTGTTTTGTAAACAATAATACAGCCTATTTTCAAATTCTGCACGAACTTTGGGAAATGTTGTCTAGTAATAGCGCGACATGCTTGAGTAATTCTTTCTCGCAATTTACCAAGTGGCGCAGGTTTGTTTTATAAACAACAGACTTGAGGTAACCCCACAGAAAAAAGTCAGGTGGCGGAAAGTCTGGTGACCTCGGTGGCCACGCAATAGGACCGCTCATTCCAATCCATTTGTTCAGATAATTAGTATCCAACCAAGGCCAAGTATTATCCAAGTATTTATAAAAATTCAAGTTACAGAAGTAACAATACTAATAAAAATAAAAATATATTTTTATTTATTATAAATCAACATTATTTTAAAATATCCTTAAAATAATAAAAAAGTATGGCAAAAAGGAGTAATTTTTTTGCTTTAGATAATTTGGTTGTTTTCTATCTATAGCATTGTCTAAAGTGTAAAGAGCAGAACATTATTGTTTTTCAGAGTTGTTGGTTTGCTCTATAAAATTCTATAAAGTATTCAATGCTGTTCTTGCCTTTTTGATGGAAACTCATGAAGGGCATCATGAGCAGTATTATTCAAATCTTCTATATTATCTAAATGTTATTGGTTTTCTGAGCTACTGAGTCGATAATTTCGTCATCAGAAAATGTCCCAGCAGTCATAAGTCTATCTCATAACAAAGTTCTCAAAGGATATTCCTGATTCTGCAGGAGGTGAAATGGAAATATCTTTGGTTTCAGCTTCTGTTGACGATGGAAAACCACAGTATACATAACAGTTTTTTAAGTAGTCGTAGTTACATTTGGTCAAGCTTTATACGCCATTCTCATGGCTTGCAATACAAATCTACAGCGGAAAATTTAATGAGGTTTTTGTTGAAGAACAAATTTGTTAAAAATATCAATTAAGAAAATGTTGTTCTAGTAATAGCGCAACATGCTTGGGTAATTCTTTCTCGCGATTGGTTGTCGTGATCGTCCCTTTGGTTCTGTAATTCATGCACAATTAAAGTTGTTGTGAAAATTTTAAATTAGTAAAATAAAGTTAATAACAATAACCTGTATAAAAAATGTTGCCAATCGAAACTAATAGTAAAGCAATAAAAAAAGAAAGCTTTCTCAGTGATAATGAATTGAATGCAATTCTTAAAAATCTTCCTTGTATTATGTTTTAATTGAAATATGTTACGCTACTGATATTTAGCCGGATATTTTCCGAATATGTCCTACAGCATAATAAGAAACGTTAAAAACGTGATTCACCTATAATCCGATCTGCACAGGTGACGTGTGCCTGTCGCGTGTCCAATCAGGTGAAAGTATAATATGCTGTGTGTATCATCCCAGCCGTATCAACTATCAAATAAGGGGGTTGTTGATGCTCAAGTGTAGGGATAGTGCATCAGCTACGCTAGAATTAAGCTATCTAATGAAAATCTTCTAATTAATATAATGGTTGAAGGTACTGGTATCAGGTGGCCCTATTGTTGGGATTAACAATGCTTGTTCGGAAACAATATTGTACTGAAAGCCATCTTATACTAAACAGTTATGCACAGATATTATAAGGTAGCTTAAATATTAAGGTATATGTTTTATATAGGTACATTTAATCAAAGCTGATTAATATATACGCACTAATTAATTATTAGCCTATTTAGGCCGAAAGAACCGAAAGTCCAAGAATAATGAAAAGAGGATAATAACTTATTTTTAATCAAATAAAAGGCATATATCGAGCATAGTAGTTTTTATTAAATCTTGCCCAAGTACTTTCGCTCCTAGAACATACAAGTCATAGAGAATAGATCTGCTAGACATCTGGAAACCCATCTTCCATTTGTAGACCTACAAAAAGCATGTGATACAGTCCCAGTATCGAGACTGTGGAAGGTATTAGAACAAACGAACATCAATCACAACTATATAGCTGCACTAAAAGAACTGTATGAAAATTCACAATCAAGAATTAAGATAGGTAAAAAACTCACAGATGCCTTCATAGTGAATAAGGGACTACGTCAGGGATGTCCTATCTCTCCTACACTATTCAAAATATATGTAGCAGCGGCACTTACACGGAATGGGTATAGAGATAGATGACAGATACCTGTTTACTCTTCAGTTTGCAGATGATCAGGTCATAGTGGCCAATGACAAAGACGACATGCAATATATGATTAGAAAGCTGATAGAAGAGTATGAGGAATGGGGCTTGACAGTTAACGTAAATAAAACGAAATATCTATGTGTAGGCTCTCAGAGCGAAAATTTGGAGTTGGACAACGGTCAAGAAATTCTGCAATGTCAAGAATATGAATATTTAGGTATCACATTCGACAATACCGGAACAGATGTGAAAGAGATAGAAAACCAAATAGTTACATCTAAAAAGATAATAGGATGTCTGAATGGCATCTTGTGGAGCAAGGAGATAACAAAAAGGAGAAAATCTAATATATACGAGACAATGGTTAAGAGCAGCCTATTGTATGGAGCGGAAACATGGAGAATTCCAGACAGACAAAAAAAGAAGGTAGAGGTAGTCGAAATGGACGCGATAAGAAGATCTATGCGAGTCTCACGAAGAGAAATAATGAGAAATGACCATATAAAACAACGAATGGGAATAGAAGGTACGATAATTCAGGATATCGAAAAGAAACAACTTATCTGGTACGTACACGTAGAGCGAATGCCAAATACTAGATGGCCCAAAAAAATACTGAACTGGACCCCAATAGGGAATAGAAAGCGAGTAAGACCCAAACTAAAGTGGCAGCAAAACATAAAAAAGTCAATGAGCGAACGGAATCTATCAACGGAAGATTGCCACGATAGAAGAGAATGGAAGTTAGGTGTCGGACAACGGAGAAGGACGTTCTAAACCGGCATATACATATATATCTGTTGTATTTAACAAGATATACTTGGTGGTCAATGTTTTTGGGACACCCTGTATATTTCCAAAAACTGAAATTCAATAGGCAGTTTTCTTGGTAGATAAAATTGATCGAAATTACCTGTAACAGTGATATAGTGAGGAGATGCAGTCGCTAATGGATCTGGCTCGTGGTTCTCGTTTTGTTGCTCGTTGGTAGCAGTACTTTCGTTGCTGGAATCCGCCGCCTGTTCCAAAGCAGAGACGTCTATCACTGGAACGCCATTAACAATTGTACCCGTCGTCTGAAACATTCAAAAATATGTTATCACAATCACATTTGTAACATTTAAAAACATAACCTAATTGTTAAGGGTTGAAGATATTAAAATATTAGAAGCTATATTTTTGTTGTATTTGAGTTTATCTGTAGACCCACCTTCTATGTAGTGCTTTTTAGCTGTTATAATATTTAGTGTTATGTACAAGTGAGATTTGGACTTTAACCCAAGCAGAAGAGAAAAAAATGAACGCATGGAAAAGAAAAATTTTAAGAATTCTTATTTGACGTTGACTTAAGAATCAAAGAATGAGACTAAAAGATTGTTACGTCATTAGGAAATGAAAAAAAAATGAAGAAAGGGTATCAAAGAAATTGAGACAGAGTTGGGAGAAAAAAAGAGTAGGACGACCTAGAAAAAGATGGCTCGATGAGATTGATAAGGACTTAAAAAAATGGGAGAGCGAAGACCAAAGGCCGAAGAGAATTGTCAAAATATTGGCTTAAAAGGCCTGTGTTAGGCTTATTAATAACATTTACTAGGCATAACCTTGTATATCATAAGCTTGTAGATATATTAAAAAGCAAAAATATTGACAGTCGTGATCTGAAAATTATATCTAATTTATATTGGAATCAAACTGCCAAGGTAAGAGTTGACAGCCAGTACACCGAAAATATCAAAATACAGAGAGGAGTCCGCCAGGGTTGCGTGCTGTCCCACTACTTTTCAATGTCTACAGTGAAGCGGTATTTCAAGAAGCGCTCTCAGACTCAATAGAAGGTATATCTATCAATGGAGAAATTTTGAATAACTTACGTTTTGCAGACGATACAGTAATAATTACGGATAACAACAATGATTTACAGAACCTAATGCAACGCCTTAATGAACGCTGTCATGAGTACGGACTAAAGATAAATTTAAAGAAAACTAAATGCATGATCATGACTAAATCTGCACATGCAAATATCCAATTGACTATTGAAGATACTGCAATTGAGAAGGTTAATAACTATAAATATTTAAGAACATGGATAACATCAGATGTAGACCAAACCAAAGAAATTAAGACACGTATTGAAATAGCACGTACATCATTTATTAAACTTAAAAAGTTTCTTTGTTGTCGGGATATAAGGTTAGAACTACGCCTGAGAATGCTTCGATGTTACGTGTTCTCTACTCTTCTTTATGGTCTGGAAGCTTGGACACTCAAACAAGTTCATCTGAATAAGCTGGCCGCCTTTGAATTTTGGTGTTACAGAAGAATCCTACGAATATCATGGATTCAAAGAATGTCAAACATGGAAGTAACTAGAAGGATAGGAAATGAGGCGGAAATAATATTAACTATTAAAAGACGAAAACTTGAGTACTTGGGACATGTGATGAGAGGGCAAAAATACGCATTATTACAACTTATTATGCAGGGCAAAATCCGAGGAAAGCGAAATGTGGAAAGACGAAGAATATCCTGGCTTAAGAACTTAAGGGAATGGTTTGAATGCAGTAGTGCAGAACTTTTTAGAGCGGCAGTCAACAGAGTCCGCATAGCCATGATGATTTCCAACCTTCGATAGAAGATGGAACTTAAAGAAGAAGAAGAAGAAGAAGGCATAACCTTATAACTTCTGTTAATATACCATCCTCTCCACATGAAGAGCATGGCATAGTAAAACGTTGAATTACAAACAATGTAAAATATTTAAAATTCCTTTTCGATTGCCCGAGTACGTTTTCCAAAACTACACAACTTCAGCTACAAATTACACCGAATGGAAGTATTTCTCGTGACGTGGGACCGTTTATAATGTGCACTCTTCATCTTTAAATCCCACTTTTGTCGACAAGACACTCTGATCAAAAAATATCGAATTTTTAGAGTAGAGTTGATACAAATTTTAATTAAAAAATTGATTTCGCGCGCCTAAATTAAATTTAAAATCACCGGTCGCCTCATGCGTTGTTTCCGAGAGAACAGTTATTTCAATTACTATTTAACTGGGAATAAGCCACAATTAAAGATAAAAATACGTTTATTGACGTTTCAATTTCCACTTCGGAAATCGTTCTCAAAATACAAACAGTAAATTAAACAAATTTTGTTTTTTGTTATTGTAATTTGTTATTGTTATTTGTAATTGTGACTTATTCCCAGTTAAATAGTAATTAATTTAAAATGCCAAAAGAAAATAGCTTCAGAACAATATTAACAGTTATTTCTACACAAAAAATCTAATAAACATTTTTGTTCAAAATTATCTCTATATTTCTTGTTTAACCCTTTGTTGTCCGACGGTACTTTAAAGTACCACAGAGTTTGAACGCTTGTATATTGTATATATTTCATTTGTTTCGCTTCTGCCTGACGGTACACATAAGTCATATGTATTTTCTACCTCTCCGATGCAGCACATGTGCAAAAGTAATATTTACATTACCATTTGATCAGTTACGTTCCGAAGTGCATGGTTTGAGGTTAGTATCCAACTAGGTCCAAGTTGAGATCCTTGCTGTGCTGCAGAGATCTCAGTTTGGGAACCAAGATGCGGGTAGTGAGGTGCTACGTTCTTCCAGTGTTACTATATGGAGTTGAAGCCTGGACACTGACGCAAGCCACTGAAAAACGAATCGAAGCCTTCGAGATGTGGATATACAGAAGGATACTAAAAATATCTTATGTGGACCATGTCACCAACGTTGAGGTCCTACAGCGCATGACAAAAGAAAAAGAAGTGCTTAATTTAATTAAACAACGTAAGCTTGAGTACCTAGACCACGTGATGCGGAACGAAGAAAAATATTGAATTCTTCAACTCGTTATGCAGGGTAAAGTATTTGGGTATTGTACTCCGACAATGGTTTGGGATGACCTCAGCGGAGCTGTTTCGCAAAGCAGTCAACAAAACCATGATAGCCTTGATGATCGCCAACATCCGGACCGGATAAGGCACTGAAGAAGAAGATCCAACTAGTAATAACTTTTATCGTGTTTTCGACATTTCACAAGAAAAGGTAAACTCTAATTGTTTATATGTATATAATGTAAATTTGTATTACTAGTATGCAAAGAAAACAAATATTCTGTATTTAGAAAAAGGTTTGGGTACAAAAACGGTATTCCATGAGACTAGGTAATCATCAGAAGCTCATTCCATTTCAGAAAGGAATATTATTAACCAACAAATCGCTTACAGCTATGTACGATTATCTACATGAAAAGTACCAGATAAATTATATTTTAACTGCTCGAATAAACCAGGATGTTCTTGAAAATTTCTTTGTCTATATTCGAAGAATGGGTGGAGCCAATGATCATCCATTTCCCTTGGATTTCAAATATCGCATGAGATGGTATCTTTTGGGAAAACAATCAGCAGCTATTTTCACAGAAAATGGAAACAGTCTAGAAGACAGTTCAGAAGAATGTTTAGTCAATGCAACCGACCAAACTAACTTTAAGACTCCTCCAATGGATGATGTCCAAGCAGAGGAAATTTGCATGGCACAAGAAATGCTTTCACTTTTGACAGATGCAGCGACAATACCAGGGAATATCGTTTACGAGGAAGAGGATTTTACTAATACTTATTTTGTTCAGCCGAGTTATTTACAAGACCAAATTCTAAATGAAGAAGGTGTAAATTTGATGAAAAATTTTGAAACCAAAGGACAAGTTAATTTAGAATCACTCAAATATATTGCTGGATTCGTAGCACATAAATTCAAAAATAAATACCAACTAGAAATCCCTACAAAATAATTCCAGTTACTGAACAACAAACCTGATTGGTTAGATATTATTTCCAGGGGATCACTTCTGATGCCTACCGATGAAAGCAGAACTCGAACATATTGTTACGATAAATTCTGACCCAAAACCGTAAACATATTTATTACTAATATTCTTATTCATTCACGTATTTTCTAGGTAATACCTACCCGACACACGATAGGTCCCCCTCCGATATAAAAACAACAATCGAACCTTCTGGTGACAGGCCGATGTAAAAAAAACCAGTTCGCGAGCATTCGCCGCTCTGTCTAGGCCCTCGGTAATAATGTAATCTTTTATTCTACGTTTAAATTTTTCAAAAATATTTGTTAGTTTTCTCAGAATTCGAAAAAAATTAATGCTAATTACATTGGCCCGAAATTTTGCGCCTACGCTCTTAATGCATTATATTTTATGTTTTTTCTTGGAAATTCATAGCATACAACAAATATTTAACATATTCATTACTTTAAGTAAACACAAATACCATTTTTATAGATTACACATGAGTTAAAACTCGTATTACTAACTTATATTTACAGTAATTAATATCTACGTTACAGTCAGTTTCCAATTTTCGCAAATGACGTCACACTCTGTGAGTGCGAAGCTGCTGCACATACCGGTGTAAGTGTATCGTGATTCGAACTAACATACGAACTGAAATTGAACGGAAAATGAGCCGTCAATGTAAAAAAGGCCTTTTATAATAGGCCAAAGGCCGGGCCGAAACCAAATGTCAAAGCACGGATGTCAATATTGAGACCCATGATACTATTAATAACAAGATAGGATCTTCCCGTAGCACAAAATCGTTCGTGTTCGCGCATGCCATCATTGGAGAGTAGAATTTGAATTCTTGTTAAAGTTAAATGGGATTTGTATGCATTATGTGATGAAATTACTAGACGAAAATAAGTTAAGAGGTTCAATAATTACAATAATCGTACACATAAGGATATCTCCAAACTATTTATTAAAGATTATTTATTGACATATACAAAAAACTGACATTTCGAACGTGCAACTCTCCAATTACGTCACGACTTATGCCCAATATCTTATCTTCTTATCATAGTATCATGATTGAGACCATCTTTAAAAATTGTAAATAAGCGCTGTCATTTTTATGAGTTAAAATCGTTAAAATTATAGTTAGTCTAAATACAACCTAAATAAGCAATAAACAGGAATTTGTTCAAAATTTCAAAAAATTTACTAGGTATCTTTGTTTACTACTAACATT